TTGATAACATGATGATGTTTTTGTCTTGCAAACTTTTTTAACCATTCTTTTGAAAGTATTTTATATTTTTTGTTGTTGATCATAAACAGGATTCATCAGCTTGGATTGTGGGTTGGTGCCTAAAGAAACCACTTACTTGGAGGCGACGACGAATATAACATACAAATCAGACGCAAATTACACCGACAGCGGATTGGTTGGTAAGATCAATGATGCACACAAGACACTGGTTCATCAGCAACTTTGGGCATTGAGAAGCTTCCCTGAGGGTGAAAGAAACTGCTACAACTTCAACCTCGTTGCGAACCGCAAATATCTGATCAGAGGAACTTTTGTGTATGGGAATTATGACGGCTTGAATCAACCCCCAAGCTTTGATCTTCACATTGGTACTAGCAAATGGACCTCTATTAAAATTGTAGGAGAAACAGATACCATAATGCGCGAGATAATCCATGTCTTAACACAAGGCCTTCTTCAAGTCTGTCTTGTTAAGACAGGAAGGACGACACCATTCATTTCGTCGCTGGAACTACGTCCTTTGAAAAATAGCACTTACGTCACGGAAAGTGGATCATTAGTCTTGTACAACCGAGTATACTTTTCATCTGATTCAACATCGATCATCAGGTAATAAATAACAAATCTTGTACCAAAATATTTCTACTTATACTTTGTGTGTTTCGAGTTAATTAACAAAAAAGAGCATCTCTTCAGGTACGATGAGGACATAAACGACCGAGTCTGGAATCCACTCACAGATGATAATTATACCGCATCGAAAGCACAGACCAATATGTCAACACAAATAACATCTATGAGATGCCTCAAGTGGTGATGAAGACTGCTGCTATCCCTAAAAATGCTAGTGCGCCATGGAACTTATTGTGGACTATAGATAACACCTCTGCGCTTTCATATGTATTTATGCATTTCGCAGAAATCCAGGATCTAAAAGCCAATGAAACCAGAGAATTCAGCATTACTTACAATGGTGGCCAGCCTTGGTATGGCTGGTTTAGACCTGCCAAGCTCAGCATTACAACGATTTACAGTCAAACCGCCTTGACTTCTTCAAATGGCGAGTATAATTTCACTTTAGCAATGACTGGTAACTAAACTCTTCCTCCCCTTATCCAAGCCCTCGAGATATATACAGTTGTAGACATTCTACAGCTCCAGACAGACAAAGATGAAGGTAAGTAAGCATGTTCGTATGACATTCTTTCAGCGAAATTGTTTACCTTTTAACTTTTCTCTTTTTTTTTGTGGTTTCTGAAATGTGATGATCAGTTTCTGCTATGATGAATATCAAAATAACTTATGGTTTAAGCAAAAAGATAAGCTGGCAGGGAGATCCATGTGCTCCTCAGCTATATCGGTGGGAAGGTCTAAATTGTAGTTATCCGGACTCCGAGGCATCACGGATCATATCCTTGTATGTTATGCATTCTTGATCACAAGGTTCTTTGGTTTTGGTGCTTTCACAAATTCTAAGCACTATGATACTTGTTTTGTTTCACAAACATTAGGAACTTGAATGCGAGCGGGTTGAATGGTACCATAACATCTGACATAACCAAGCTAACACAGTCGAGCGAGCTGTAAGCATCCGAATTCTAACACCAATGAACTTAGTATTCCATATGCTTTATTGCGGTGCGAGAAGGTAATAACTCTGCACTCTCTCTTTAATGAACAGAGATATATCAAACAACGATTTATCAGGAGAGATTCCAGCATTTTTTGCTGATATGAAGTTGTTGAAACTCATGTGAGCTTTCTTTATCACAGCCTCTCTTGTTCTATCGCTGCTTTTAATTTTCTGCTTTAAGAGATTCTGCCTTTTCTTCCATAGAAACTTAAGCGGAAACCCGAAGCTCAATCTCACAGTTCCAGACTCTCTTCAGCAAAGGGTAAACAACAAATCTTTAACACTAATGTAAGATGATTCACTCTTGAGTCAATTGGAAAGTATATCTCAATCCCTTCAGCAATCCTTATACTCTCTTTTTGTATTTTTTTTCCTATCACTTTTAATGATTACAGTTTGGGTTAAAACATGAATCCCACTCCCAAAAAAGAGAGTAAAACGGTTCTTGTGGTTGCGGTCGCAGCGTCAGTGGCCGGGGTGTTCGCTCTGCTAGTTATATTGGCCATCTTTTTCGTTGTTAGAGGAAAAAAAGGGAAAAGTACTTATGGTATGAATGAACCACCAGACTAGGTCTTGAGAATAATTTAAAAGGAAAACTTTCTGATTTTAGCCTATTCATTTTTGTACGGATTTATAGCTCGAGGACCACCCCCTTCAATCACTAGTGGTATAGTTAAAAGTGAGACAAGATCATCCAACCCATCAATCATGACAAAAGATCGGAGGATCACATATCCCGAGATATTGAAGATGACTAATAACTTCGAGAGAGTTCTTGGGAAAGGAGGTTTTGGAACAGTGTATCATGGAAACTTGGATGATGCTCAAGTAGCTGTGAAAATGCTTTCGCATTCATCAGCTCAAGGTTATAAAGAGTTCAAAGCAGAGGTACTTGAAGAAGAAATTGATCCGTTAGTCCTTTTTTTTTTCTTTTAAGCATTAAGCTTTGCAATCATGAAATGGTCATTTTGATATCTTTCGTAGGTTGAACTTCTTTTAAGAGTTCACCACAGACATTTGGTTGGACTTACTGGTTATTGTGATGATGGAGATAACTTAGCTCTGATCTATGAATATATGGCAAATGGAGACCTGAGGGAGAATATGTCAGGTAACACTTTAACTTAAGAGACTATGATTTAATCGAATCCATCTCCTTCCACATGCAGTTTTAAAACATTGAAAACCCGGTACAGGAAAACGTGGAGGCAATGTCCTTACCTGGGAAAACAGGATGCAAATAGCTGTAGAGGCTGCACAAGGTGAAAATTACTTATTTTCTACCTTTGTCAGATTAATTAGTAGAAAATAGCTGTGGAGGCGGCACACGGTGAAGAAAAATCGACTTATTCTCTCAACCTTTATCTGAGTCATTACCAAAAAATATTTTTTCTTGATGTTCTTCTTTTATGCTGGCTGAAAGCAAACCCGACATAAACAAAAACCATTTGTAACAGGACTGGAGTATCTGCACAATGGATGCACGCCTCCTATGGTCCATAGAGATGTTAAAACTACTAACATCTTATTGAATGATCGGTGTGGAGCGAAACTAGCCGACTTTGGGCTCTCGAGATCTTTCCCAATCGATGGCGAATGTCATGTCTCGACAGTTGTTGCGGGCACACCTGGCTACCTAGACCCTGAGTGAGTAGATCAATTAAATTGTAAAGTTGTGTTATTGTGGCCAAATAAGAATATGAATTGTTATATCTCTATGATCCTCTTTTCAGGTACTACCGAACAAACTGGCTAAGCGAGAAGAGTGACGTATACAGCTTCGGTGTAGTGCTATTAGAGATAGTCACAAACCAGCCTGTGATAGATAAAACCCGAGAGAGACCTCACATCAATGAATGGGTTCGGTTCAAGCTCACTAAAGGAGACATCAAGAGCATCGTTGACCCGAAACTTATGGGGGACTATGATACAAACGGTGCATGGAAGATTGTGGAGCTTGCACTTGCCTGTGTTAACCCATCTTCAAACCGAAGACCTACAATGGCACACGTTGTTATGGAGCTAAACGAATGTGTGGCCTTAGAAAATGCAAGACGACAAGGTAATGAAGAGATGTACTCAATGGGTTCTGTTGACTATAGTCTCTCTTCTGCTTCTGAATTTGCCCCTGGAGCCAGATAATTTGAAACTATCTTTGATGTGATCTCTGTAAAGCTATCTTGTTTCCTTTTTCATTTCGCTTGTGAATTTCCCAATGTATGTTTTGAAGAAACAATCTATAATCTCCTTCGTATAAAACTATATATACTCTTAATTATATTTCAATTTTCGCGATGACTGGTAACCTAACCCTTCATTCTCCAGTCTTAAACATTCCACAGCATGTGACAGACCAAGATAAATGTAACTTCTTAAACCAATATGTTTTCTATCATTATTTTTTACTTGGTTTGTAATATGATCAGTTTCTGCTTTGATGATTATCGACGAGAGAGTGTAAACTGTAGTTATCTTTGTAGATTTTGTTGAATAATCACAAGATTCTTTGGTTCCGAGATTTAAATACTAACTGTATTCTTTGGTCAGATAACACTTTTGGGATGTTTTTGTTTTATAACTCAAGTTTGTTCCTCTGCTCAATACTCTGTTTTGATTACTCTGTTCTGAAACTATTGGTATTTTTAGAGCTTTCTCTGAGAAAATAATAATTTATGCATCAATCTTAATATTGAATTCATCGAGCACACAACTAGTGAAGGCTTAATAAAATACTACAAATCAGAAGTCAAAGGCTAACTAAAATCATTGAAGGTTGTATTGGCATGCATAATTCAATTGACATGCACAAACAATATGATAATTAAAACTTATAACTTACAGCTTTAATAGACTTTTTAAAAGAGACACTACAACGACTTATTTTTTATATATTTTGCTAAGAGAGTAATAAATATTAAAGAAAATTTCAAAAAAGGGACAGTTTTTGACATTTGTCTCACCAATTGACAAAGTGGAGAAAGGGTTTCACGGTTTGACATTTAGCCAGATTTGTGACGAAAATGCCCTTCAACTAGAGACGTTACTGTGCTGGTTCGGTTTCTCTGATTTTGTTTTATTTGGTTTGTTAATATTTTTGAATTTAAATTTAAAAAAAAAAAGAAGAAGAACGGGGAAAAAGAAGAAGAACGGCGAAGAGAAAGAGGACGAAAAATCAGAGTACAAACCGTTTCCATTCTGAAAATCTAATATCTCATTTTGATTCTTTTACTTGGAAACGACCAAAAGGGGAAAAATTCCGGTGAATTCCGTTTCCATTCATCTTTAAATCTCTCATTATCTTTCCGTTTTGCCGCTACGACCAAAAGCAAAGAAATTTCCGACGAGTAAGATAGCGGAGTACAGATGACGGCGAAGAAAATGAATCTATTGAAGAAGAAGACTCGGCGCCGCGCGAAGGTGGCGAAAAGTTCAGAGAAGGGTGAAGCGAATAGTTCACCGGAGAAGGGAATCGAGATTCCGAGTCCCCCGCCGGAGCCCGAGAGCACAAGTCAGGGTAAGTATCTGTAAACACGGAAATCGAATTTAATTTCGAATCGAGGATTTAATTTCAGGGTTTTCAAACTAAATCGATTTTTGCGCCAAAATAGAAAATTGAGAAGATTTATGTTCTAATCTGTGTACGTACCCGAAATTGGAGTTATAAATTTTTCTACTTTTAAGTGATTTTGAAAAAAATGCGTATATGGCCTACTAGGGTTTATTCGTTATAGTGTTCGTATGTTAAATTAGTTATGGATATTAGAAACTGACATATTTCTATTACACATAACTTGCAGGAAGCATGGATCCGATTGAAGAAGGTAATATTGGTGAAGGATGTGAAGAGTTACCGCCGAGGCTTTTTGCTCTGGATAAGTACCCTACTGAAACGAAGATCAATGCGTATTCCAAACCGGAGTACCTTGCTGATATTGCAACAGCCCTTAAAGGAACTGAAGAAATGGCTTTTCTCCTATCTTCTCCTTTTGGGGAGCTCTTTAATATCCCTCCTAACATGGTATCATTTTCTGGCAAGCTAGTTCTTGGCTTGATTTGCCGTCAGTTAGTGACCAAAAAACGTTATGAGATGTGGATGGTTTTTGGTGGTCATCCACTGCGGTTTGGATTAAGAGAATTTTATCGGATAACCGGTTTGGAGTGTGGGAAGTACCCGAAAAAAAAAGCTGTGGAGAAAGTGCTAACGGTGAAAAAGGGATGTACTTCTGTGTGGAAGACTCTATTTGGTGCTAAGTCTCCAACTATTGATGATTTGGTCGTGAGCTTGAAGACAGAGAAAAAAATGCCAGGATGGAAGAGACTAGCATTAGCGCTGATAATCATTGTTGATGGTGTTCTAATCTGTCAGAAGCAGCGAGTCCGACCCGTTTCAAAGACAGTTGAGATGACGAAAGACCTTGATTTCTTCTGCAAATACCCATGGGGAAGGCTTGCTTTCAACCGTACACTGGACAGGATAGCCAGATTCAAATCCGCTAAAAAGATAGAAGATGTGATCATTGGTTGCAAGCAGCAGTCTTATATGGTCTATGGCTTCCCACTAGCGCTGCAGCTTTTTGCCTTCCAAACTATCCCATCTCTTCGTAAGCTAGTTCCTTCTTCCACAAATGTAAACTTATTCACTCAGAGGTCAATCAAGAATCTGGCCAAAATGCATCCAATCCGGACTTCCAGTATCTTGGAGTGCGAAGCTGCAGATCAGGTGTGTACGCTTTCTAATATACGTACATCGAATGATAAAATAATACGTACATTCACTAAGACGTTAAAAACAAAATCTTATAGGTGGATGTCACCTATATTGTGGATCCAGAGGATACTGATTGTCCTGAATCCTTAGTATGGAATAAGGAAGTTGAGGATCCTAGAGTTGATTACATTTTGAGGAAGCTGATAGATGGGCACAAGTGGTCCGAAAACACATGGGTTGGAGGTCATGATGAATGTCCAAAGCAGCTGCGGCCAGAAGAGAAAGGTAAGCATAACTACAAACGATTTTCTCATTTATGAAAATACTCCTCTAATATAAAAACATAAATAAACTCAGTTGGTGCAGTCCGGAAGAGGCAACTACGGCAAAGAGCTCCGGTTGCTAATAAAAAACAGAAAATTGATGTTGAAGCTGAAGAGAATGACAACGCTGGGGAAAGTTTAGAAGATGAGAGGTTTGATAAGTATGTTGTTGAACTGAGGCGGTGTATGAGGAGGCAAGAAACACAAAGGAACAAACTACATATGGAATTAAAAGAGTTCATCCGTGAGGAGATTCGTGCTGCTCTAAATCCAAAGGGCGAAACACAAGTACAACCTGAACCTTCCAAGGTATCAAAGAGCCCTATTAAAAAGGTGGAGAAGCCAATGGTAAAGAAATCCAGAAATGTTCAAATTGGAACAAGAAGATCTCCTCGGCTGAAGAATATGAATACTTCAGAATACAATGTTGATGATGTACCTCCACCTTCTGAGAAGGTATGTCGTGTACGTACATTATGTTTACGAAGATAATGTACGTACATACATTATGTTTACGAAGATAATGTACGTACATACATTATGTTTTCGATGATAATGTTATTTATGTTACAGGATGAAGAGAAAACTGCCCCTGAATCTGCTAGAAAAGAAGCAGATATGTCTGACAATGAAAGTGCTGGACTTTATTATGGTGGACCTTCTGACGAGGTATGTCGTGTACTAGAAATAGTCACAGAGTGTAGTACTGTACGTACATAAACTATAAATATGTTTATTTTCTTTATTTCAGGACGAAGTCATATGTGATGGTGGTGAATATGACAAAGGACCGCTAGATTCAGCTACCAAACAACAAGATAAGTCTGAGACTGAAATGGCAGACATTTCTGAAGATGATAAGGACGTGTTGCCTGACGAGGAAACCAACACTGGAGATGATAAGGACGTGTTGCCTGATGAGGAACACAAAACTGGAGATGATGAGAACGTCTTGCCTGAGGATGAAACCAAAACTGGAGATGATCAGGACATGTTGCATCAGGAGGAAAGCAACGTTGGAGATGATGAAGAATTGTTTAATGCTCCTAGTTCCCCAAAACGTGGAGCTGACGAATTGGAGGTATGATCAAGTCAATGTTAAACTTTGAGTGGCAGATAATAATGACCTATCCCTTAACTAATGAGTAATGCACCAATTGTAGGCTTCTCCGACTGATGAACCTACAATTGCTGGTCAGAGGAATGCTGGAGGGGCTATTGGCGTTGATGGCAACCTTTGTTCTACGCCTTCACCGTCTTCTGTAATCGTATACACTGTAAGTTACTTATATGTTAGTACAATAATTTCGTTCCTCATTAGTGTAACAGAGTAACAAAGTAAAAATTATGTATTCATCAAGTACTAAAAGAGTTGGGAACCTCTGTTGATGTAACTGCTGGTACCAATGCCATCGAGGTAACTATTTTTATTAAATTAACTTATAATTTCTATACACATGATGTACGTACATAGGCGTTATTGCGTACATATAACTGATGGTTGTGTACGTTATTTCGATAAGGTTGAACCAATGGTGAAAGCAGATATCATTTTGGGAGGAGATAACAACACTATCGTTGATGAGGCAAAAACAACCGCATCTGCTCCTCAAAATCTTGTAAGTCCATATATGTTATTTACATATCATGCAATGATTTCAATATAAGCTTTCTATTTGTTTGATTTAGTAACTCAATCTATTTTTCAGGAGGAAACAAAAAATGATTTTGATGTGGGAGTAAGTGAGTCTCAAAAACCTGAGGATGTTGTCCCCGTAAAAGAGAAGAAACCTGTTAAACGAAGAGTTACTTTTGAGGATAAAGAGAATATAACCGCCTCTACCACGGAAAATCAAGTAAGTTATAGAGGCTGTTGTTAATAAATTATATACATATTCCTTTAAGGTTTTAAATATGAATGTAAAATAATTTGACATTTTTTTTTGGTGCAGGAGGAACCCAAGAAGGATGCAGGTGTGGAAGGAAGTGATGGTCAAATTCCTGATGATTCCAAGGATGTCGAGATATTAATTGAGACGAAAGAATCATCATCAAACTCTGCGTTTTTGGTCAAAGCCGGAAATGAACCATACAACCCATTAGAGAAGGTGAACGATGCAAAATTCCAGCTTTTAACTGATATCATCAATGGACCAGATGTGTAAGAATCTCTAACTTTATTAAATATCATATACTCTTTCTTTTCACTTGAAATGCAAATCATGTATTTAACTATATTTTGTTTGCTCCGACGTTCAGGGTCCACACAGTTTTTGGATTACGAAAACTAGAGAACCGGTTTTTCGCCACCCTTGCAGAACCTGGTGAATGGGTTCAATCTAATGTACGTATTGTTGGTATACGTCCACATTTGTTGATATACGTACACATGAATTGATATACGTACACGTTATATACTCATTATACGGATATTATATTTTATACGTACACAACATCATATGCGTATTTACATTTTCAGCACTTGGAAATGATCGCCCTCATGATGTGGCACAAGAATGGAGAACATATGAGGAAAACTCGGGCAATTGTTTTGGATTCATTACTCACGTACGATCTCTCATGGCGTGCAAATGAATTCAGTCGGTGTAAAAAAAAGGAGAGTTTCAAATGGGGTGAACTGCTCTACGAAATTGCAAATGGTGAACGCATTAACCGTCAACCTATGCTCAAGTGGCTAAAGGACGTCGACGTCCTTTATGTCCCTTTGAACTGGTCACAAGAGCATTGGGTTGGTATCAGCATCGACCTCAAGATGCAGCCCATCCTGGCTATGATGCCTTATCTAGTGAAAGCGGTACGCAAGGACTATGTAGGTGAGAAGTACCCTCTCCACCCTTTCACATACTTTCGGGTGGACTGCATTTCTCAGAACCCTCGTACCGGAGACTGCGGTCCGTTCTCGATGAAGTTTATGGAGCTACTGATGCTTGGACGCCCAATGGAAGAGTTGCAGACCATTGAAGAGGCTGATATGGACAACTATCGTAAGGGGTACGCTGTTGACATCTTCGAGCATGGTGTAAGGTCTCTGACCTAATGGCCGTGTATTTGGTGTTATTAATATCGTTTACAACTTCTGTTTTATCTAGGGTTTTGTGTTTTTTGAACAACTTTTGCCTTGGCGTGTGGGCTATGTTATGTTTCAAGCACTCTAAACTTCTGCCTTGCGGTGTAGGCTATTTTATGTTTATAGCACTCTAAACTTATTTTATGTATTTTGAACGAATTTCATGTTTTAATCTAAAGATCCAAACATAATATCTAAAATTTCAGACGTACGTACATATGTATGAAAATGAATTTCTGTGTACGTACAGACTAAACATATTTGGCTACCACAAATGTATATAGTATTGGAGTAAAAATAGTATTCAAAATAGATAAGGTTACATATAGTTAATTGATTTGACATTGCTGACGTATTGGAACTACACTTATTGCTAATCTCATTGAATACAACTATTATCTTCCCAACTAAAACTTTCACCTCGCCTATTTAAGTGGATAAAATTGATGGGGAGTTCCACACCTCAATCCAAAACATGTCATATCCAAATCTACCTGACGATGTCCTAGCCAAGATTGCGAAGATCATGGCTCACAAATGTTGGTGGTACCTACAGCCTCTCTTAAGATCAGGCCCTCGTGGAAGGGACATTGTATACCGGCCCGATGTACTCCAAGATGCAAATATTTACAGTTTGTGCAGTGATCCCGATGACTTCCATGCAGCTGGTCATGATCCAAATGACATCCACACCGAAGGTCGCTATAGATCTTTCTTCAAAAGATGCGTAGATGCTGGAAATCCAATAGCTATCTATCATGAAGGACTGCGTCTTCTAACACATGAATCTGACATAAAGGGAGCTATAGTTCTATTACATCGCAATGTGCCTAATCACGCTGATGCAACACTTGCGTGTGCGATCCTCTCCATATGTGACGGTAACGCGTACATGGGCGCTGAGTATCTTCTAATGTTTGAGAGAAACCATTACTCGTGGCAGTCAGAAGAAACTCGAGACATGTGTGAGGAGTTGCTAGATGAGATTAAAAAATATGGCCTTACATACAACAACACTTATGGTGCAACATTTTCTTACCCTGATTTTCGTGGATTTAACTCTCCACCTTGCGCGATGATGTGTTATATCAGGTCTGGTCCCTTTAAAAATGTGTGTAACGTTTGCTATTTATGGTGGTGTGCTAGAAGAATTAGCCAACTCCTCTAAGTTTATATTTGATGTTTCATGTTATTATCTATATGCTTGTGTGCTTAAAGTTTCATAGCAATATAGTACTTGTTGTTATAAATGTTAATGATTTTACACTCTTTCACAAATATCTAAAATAGTTGAAAAGGGTATTAATTTCATTGTATACTACATATGGAATGTATGAGGATTAAAGATTTCGTCAGATAAAAGACAAAAAATGTCATATTCAATACTTCTTGTCACGGTTTAGCTTTAAATGTACACTCTTAGAAGGTAGATTATTTGTAGCAAATTTATCAATTAATAATCTACCCTTATTGATTTGACCCCTTTCGTGGATAGTTATTAAATACATTTTGTCTGACTTATATAATGAACATATTTAATATTTCTGAATGCTTCTAACAAGTAGTTCCTAATATAGACGTACACGGTGGAGCTATAAATGTACACTGTTAGAAGGAGATAGACACAATCAATAAAGCACTAAATACGTACCTATACTTTCGTCCTAATTTCGAAAAATGTATCGTTAACCAGAGCTGATGTTACATCACATTGAAGTAGTTCAACTTGTTGCCTTCACATACTTTGTTATAACCCTATAAATAACTACACCCTGAAGTCTCTTTACACACAAATCGTTCAAACTCAAAACCGATATAATATTAAAAAAAAATGCCTCTTCCAACTCCTCCTCCGACCGAGATGTATATTGCGGTCCTGCTCCCAAACCCTGTCAGTATACTAGTAAACTACCTTCATGTATCTCAGACTCCAGTCGACACCCTTAGGAACATGGTGTATGCCGTTGACATCAACTCCATCTGTATGGACGAGTTTATGACTTGGCCGCATTTCATTCAGCCTGATTGTCCTTTCCGACCGTATTTCGACATCTTGTTGGAGAGGGGATCCTTGTGTGCGCAATACCTTGAAGGAGTAAGGCTTTGTACCAACTTCCTGACCGTTACTCATGGTATAACGTTGCTCACTTCGGTCTCCCCATCCGACCCATATGCGTGCTTCGCACATGCCTTGTTCTTAACAACGACGGGCAGCTACACTGAGTTCATCCCGGTAAATGCAATGTTCTGGGAAATGATACAAAATTTTGAGACTGCAACCGCCGTGGGAGAGTTGGTGATGTATCACATCAGTCAACTTCATCATCAAGGCCCTCCGCTGTGGCAAAGATCGTGGAGGTTTGTCATCAGTCCGCCATGTATCAGACGCTGCACATACGGACATTGGTGCCGCAATTGTTTTTTCTATTGGTACGCTCGAGAACTATGCATTTTCTACTAGATGTGCGATGGCTATGAAGGAAGAAGCATGCAATTTTCCCACTTATGACTATGCTTCCGCTATCACCTTTACTTTATTTCTTATGAATCTCTACCGTAATAGTCTGTTTATTTCTATGCTTTGTATTTCCCTTTCCAGGAGTCTTGCTATGAATGAATGAAGTTAACCCTAGGTGTCTGTTTATTTCTATGCTTTGTATTTTCTTTTTGAAGGACTCTTGTTATGAATGAATGAAATCTACTTTTATGAATTAAACATATATGAATAATTACACGTTTTGTAGGTGTACGTAATATGTATACGTACATAGTAGATGGAAACTCCGAAAATGTTATAATATGTACGTACAATGCTGGAATTAGTCATTATGAACGTATACTTGTCAAGAATTTTATATTAATGGAACAAAAATTAAAAATAAATTAGGCCATATATTTTTAAGTTTGGAGAGAATAACAAACTAGAAAATAACAATATTTGTTTGTTTTTATAGCAACAAGAGATTATAGAAATAAAAACTGTAGTTGTTTTTTGAATACGATAAAAAAAACAAAGCAAGAAGCACGCCTGCAGACTAATAAACCACCGTTTTGATCTCTTGGACTTCCGGGATGTCCGGATCAGCAAACAACTTTGATACAGGGCCATGACTGATAAGCTTCGGGTTATTTCTCCCGGTTACCCTCCAACAAACGAGTGCTACCACAATATTGCGACAAGTATAATTGCGGAAGTAACTTTGGAAGTCCAAAGCTTGTTGATTGTGGGCTTCACATTCCAAAACTTCGTTGCTAAAGTAGAGGGAAAGAGAAACATGATCAGCAAATTAAAGTAGTTTTATTTGCAAAGGATAGAGATACGTACTATCTATCTTTGATCTTGAAAGGAAGCTTCACACCATAAAAGTCTTCGGTGATTCCTCCAACCTCCAAAAGCGCACCAACCGCATATGGGGTATAAACCAAGATATTATGTAACTATTGAAAAAAAATTAAAAAAAAAATTTTAAAATACACAAGTCTAAGGTAAAACTACTCACCGACCAACACATTTTTATCAACCGTCTTCTGAATAATGTAGTCGAATTGAGTGAAATCATAAAAATTGAATGCGTCCCTTCGCAATGCGTTAGTAACAACGGTCCGATCCAAAAACCAGATCCCGTACTCGTGCGCTGTTGTTTTCACTGGGTCAGCATTTTTACGTACAGAGAAAGATGTGATAATTTTCCACTCATTTTCTTTGAGTCGATCCAAGTAAAAAGGAGCAAGACGACGGTCAATGGTTGCCTCTATGCGTGAGCGGGAACCCTGCAGATTATGATGAAAAAGCAAATAAGATTTAAGCAAATGGGTTGTATGTTGGTAAAAAATTAGGAGAGGTCGGGATATTACCGATTCATCTGCCAAGATGAGTCCGATTTCGAAAACGTTAGGAGCAACGAACTTCTTAAACACTCGGACGACAAAGACACAAATTTTCCACCCAGTGATCATTGGACACAATTCAGAAATGGTATGATATCCGTCCATGATGATAACACGGAATGTAACCACAAGGGGTGATAGTTTGTGTTTGACAGATATAAATGGAGATTTGACTGGTGTTTTCTAGAGATAACAGGAACGTGGAAAACCAAGCAAATAAATTGGGGCTTAAATAATAAAAATTTGGAAAGAAATCAATGGTTAGTTCGAAAGGGTGCAACGTTTGGAAATAAATTGGGGCTGACTTGTATTGTAAAACGACGTCGTTTGACAACTTTGTCTAAAAGGTTTAAAATGTATATATGCAAAATTGGGGTCTCGAACCCGTGTGCCTTCATGACTCTTCCAGAACCTTATACCAATGGAACCCACAACTTTCATCGAACATGTCCCAATCATTTTAAATTATAAACCTTTACATTTGGGTTTTCAAAGTAATCAAACGACGCCGTTTTCAATTGGGGGAAAAATAAGAATTCTAGGGTTTCGAATTGAGAATCTGATCTCTCAGTTCTTCTTCGTCTTCTCCGAAATTAGAGTGAAGATAGGGGAGAAAATCGCAGAACAGAGAGCTACAGAGAAATTGAATCAGAAGTAATCGTCATTTCGCTAGCAGGTAACCATGTCTTACTCGGCCTTCGATTTAATGAAGAAATGAGACTAAATTGGTGAAATTTGCTGGGTAGTTGTGAAATGGGTGATCGATTAAGAGGGTTCCCTAAGAAGTGTCGGTGCGGAGAACCTATAGTGATGAAGACGTCAAACACTGCTAGAAATCCTGGCAGATTGTTTCATGCTTGTCCTTTTGGAGACAATGTAAGTGGCTAAATTCTGGGAATTGTTGTCTATATGTGTTTTTGTGTCATATAAGAGATGCATTTAGCTTGGTATGACAGGATAATAGGTATCATGTGTTCAAATGGACGGATTCTTGTATGGTAGAAGAGATACAAGACTTAATAGAGAAAGTTGATAACTTAGAAGGAACTTCGATTACAATGCAAAAAAGCTTCAATGCGTGTGAATCAGAGATTGAGAATCTGACGATGGAGACGCGTGTCTGTGAGGCTGTGATTGAAAAAGAAGTTGCAGAGTTGAAAATTCAGTTTCGTAGCTTGCAGAATATCGTGGTGTTCGCTTTGGTGTTGATTTTCTTTTTCAGGTTTATATTTTGAATCTATATGTATTTTCTTTTTCATGATGTGGGTTTGAACTAAAATCATGATGTGTTTTGAAATATGAGAATCTATATGTATGAATGATGTTTGTGTTTGGGTTTCTGTAATGATCGAGAAGAAAAAGAGGAAATGAGAAATCGATTTGAAAAATACACTAAAAAATGTGCAGGTATAAAAATCAACGGTCTAGAACCGTTTCATTTATAAGGTATACGTACACGGGGAAGCTGAAAACGTACAAAGGCATACGTACACCGAAATAAACTTGGATACACAAAAAAATACATAAACGTACACTGCCCACACTTTGCCAAAAAAAAACAAACCTACAGAGCTAAATTGGATTTTTGCAAGTCTTCTTGTTATGACCTTCTTGTCTACATCTTGTGCAGAGATTCGGATTTAGTCTTTTCTGTCTTTTTTTCTGAACGTGAGAAACAACAAAAGTAAACAAGAAAATCATGTATATAGACATAGCATAGATATCGTCAATAAGGTACAAGCAAAAATGATATAACTTACCCGGTTTTCACCCCTAGAAGGTATCCTTTTGCTGGTTGGTCTCCCGGGTGGTCGTCTACTGTGAGGAGGAATAAGTATAATTTCTGATATATTTTGAGGGATGGCAACATCCTTTGGATCCGCGATAGGTAGAATCGGTTCTTGAAAAGAATCGGAAAACGTTTGAAGGCTATACCACCAGCCAACAACAATCTTCGGATTAATCCCAAACTCTATTGCAGCTGCTAGACCGTGTTCACATGGAATTCTTAACTTCGTGTACCTAAGACACGTACACGTACACTCGTCGAGTACGACATGGAAATGCTCACCAGACTTGCTTGTAACTTGATAACTCCAGGGTCCAGACATCTTCACTGCGAATTTCCCGGAATCAGGTAAATCTTGGAGAAAACGCTCATCAACCTCAGGCGTCACTAAAGATTTACATTTAGCCACTTTTTTCCGCCTAGCTGCGAACCACCGCATAAGGACCTCTTGAATGAACTCTATCATGTAGACAATCGGATATGCTTTTGCTTTGGTTAAGACGTTATTCATAGACTCTGAGTTGTTGCTAGACATGATATTGTACCGTTCCCCTTTGCAGTGAGCTCTTGTCCAATGCTCAAATCCAATTTCTTCCAAGTAATTTGCGCATCCAGCACTTCTGCCCCTTAACTCTGCAAAGTATTTTTCAAAATCCCTCACCCTATATGCTTTTGCGGCGCTGAAGAATAATTCCGAAACACCATACTTACTATAATACGTGGATATATTTCGCTCAAGGTGTACTACACATGCTCCATGATGAGCTTTCGAGTACACAACACTGAGTCCTTTGTAAATAGAAGAATGCCTGTCCGAGACAATCATTAAATCTTCACTGTTTGGAACAATCTCAGATAATTTATCAAAGAACCAAATCCATGAAGCATCGGTCTCCCCATCAACAACACCAAAAGCTATTGGAAATATTTGGAAGTTCCCGTCTTGGGCACATGCTATTAGGAGGACTCCTTTGTAACGACCTACTAGCTGTGTACCATCTACGACAACTACTTTCCGCATATACTTAACTCCTTTTATGGATGCCCCGAGAGCTACAAATACATACTTAAATCGCTGCTTACCATCAGCTTCAGGGGTAGAGTGGAGGTGTGTTATTGTCCCAGGATTAGCTGCTTTAAGGAGATACAAATAAGTTGGTAAAAACCTGTAACTTTTGATATCATCCCCTCTTACATTTTCAACTGCCACCTCTTTAACTCTCCAAGCTGTAGCATATGAAATCCGAACATTGAGATCATTTAATAGCAACTGTGGTAAATCAACAGCTCTCGGACCTCCTTGCGTAGAACTGTATCTACTCTTCACTACCTCTCCGAGAAGTTTATAGTTAGCATGTTTAGTGTAACCCTTGCGAGTGTCGACGTCACATGTATGGATGGAATTATACCTTGTGATTTTGAAACATTCTGAATTCTTGACAACCTTTGCAGACAAATGCCACCGACAATTTTCATCCACACAAACCATCTCCAATCTTCTAGGATCAGACCGAGTTTGCTTGTAGCAAAAGCAAACTTTGAGTGCAAGATAAGACATAGTTTGTTGTATGACTTTCCTGTTCATAAACACACTACCCACATATAATGTCTCACCAGTCGTACTAATTTCAACTTCTGTAGAATCACATCTAACTTTGGCTAAATCATCAAATACTGGAGCAGCATCATTATCAAGAATCTCCGGCTCTCCACTATGTAATAAAGAAAATCCATTATACACTTCGTAAGCCTCAACCGAGGGTTGTATACGGAGATCAGTTTCATTTAAGACACCAGTTTCTGAACCTCCGATATCCAAATCCACACCAATCTCTCCATTGACTTTGTCTCTACCATTAACATCGGTATCCGTATAAGTAACAAATTCATCTTCGCATCCTGTGTCTTGTACACATTCTCGAGTGTACGTACATTGGAGCAATCTATGTTGACACGTCCGGGTTGAATTCACAGTGGGCTGGGTGTCACCCAAATTCGCACTTCCTTCTCCTGTACGTACACGTTTACTTGTGTTCGTACACTCTTCCAATAGACGACTGAATTCCCCTGCCGGTTCTACGGTCGGTGGAGTGTCACAGACGTCCTCCTCAACATGGCCAACTCCATATTCTTCTACAATCAAATCATTCCACTTGTTGTAATTGTAATCTTCACTACTACCTTCACTGCCGTCTATAGTAGGGTCGAGGGTACTTCCGGCACTATATCCACCACAGGCATCGTCATCTATTTCAATGTTTTCGTCGCTGTCATCCTCTGCATCTTCATTTGTTTTTTCATCCTGTACGTCAGTTTGCTCATCTACATCCGCATTAGTAGTGGCATCTACAGTTGTACTGAACGACACAAACAAGTTGACACTTGGATCCCCAACACGAATCAGGAAGAATGTATCCAAGCTCATTTGATTGTCAATGTAGACAGGAGGGCGTGTACGTTCTATCATAATTGACATATTTCCCGGCATCTAGTAACTAATTATTGGCTGCCATTCATTGTACTTCAAATTGAAAACCTCACATAATGTACGTGCCAAATCCGTGTACCTCATGTTTTCTCTAACACGTACACACCGACCATAGCTTCCTTTCTCAGGTTCAAATTTCCATTGTTCTTCTGTTATTATCCACTCACCAACCATAATAAATACTGGAATCTCCATTAACATCCTGCATCATAAATTCAGGAGAACCCCATTAAATGCAACTGAGAACAACTTTTATAACTCCAACTAAAAAAAGACTTTGCAACTACACACTTAGTGCACATTGAATCTCCTCATTTAACATTTATTATAGAACAAATATAGAATGAAGACAGGAATAAATGATCAATTTCCTGAAGTTTTGTATCCAAATCAATTTTGTTTTCATTGAAAGTGTATGTAATACCTAAATTTTATATTTACAACTTCATTACTTACCACGGTCACTGCTTTCTCGCCTGCAAACTTTGTTAAACAAGAAGATCAAAATGACGTCTATCTCATTTATTCATAGATATTGAGGGGAAGTTTATGTTTTTTCTTATTTCTCTTTACAAAATCTAAACAGTGGACGTTATTATGATTTAAGAGGATTAAAATAAGATGTAATGATGAGTTTGCATTGATTACAGTTGGAATGAGTCATGTCTCAACTTTTTCAGCATTTAAAACATTTGTGACAACATATTTTATTTGTTTTATTCTTTCGGTGTACACTGTACATCCGACGGAAATATTAAAAAACTAATCAACTGTAGCTAACGAGATATTGTGTACGTAACCAACTCGTCTGACGATTTCGTTCGCATTCACTGTACACCGGTTCGGCTACAAGGGCATTTTCATCAGAAATTGACATAATTGTCAAATGGTGAAAGCTAATCCCCACTTTGTCAAAACCTGAAATAAAAACTTAAAAGTTGGGCCTGGCCCGTAATTAACCCTAAATATTATTATATGAAAGTTAGGTGTTACAAAATAGAGAAGACCTAAGAAATTGAACTTTCTCAAAAAAAGAATAAAACAGAATCACGATGAACAATAAAGACTTATTATGATCGTTTATTTAACTACGAAACTTCATCCTCACAGAACCAAAAAAAGACACAAAGAGACAGATCAAACAATGCCATACAAAAGTCAACGTCAACGAGTACGTAAGATCATTCTTTGAAGGTTGTGGTTTTTTTATGCACGTCTCCTATGTGGAAAATAACAGCATCTTATTTTTTAGTTGACTTAGTCAACGGTTTGATGATCTAGACTCTATAGGACATAAGAGAGAGTTTTCGACCACTAATATAACTTTTGTCATTTGTGGATTGATTTTTGTGCAAGACTCTCTGGCTCTGCAACTGCAAGTGACACGCTTCTCCCTTTGTTTCATATTTTTTTGCTTGGTTTCGTATCTTTTTATATATTTGATTTCACATTTTTTTATTTGAGCTTAGGTTATATAATTTAAACCTTCCCACGCCTGAAACCAGAAAGAATGTCGTAGGCAAGTAAGGGTATTGTTATAATCTAATGTTGAAGACTTTTAGCACAATTTGACCAATATTATGTTATCTTCATTCTTTGTCCATGAACAGAAATGAACAATGAATATTGATAGCCTCCTCTGAATCTGACCACCTACGCAAGAAAATGAAGTCTCTTCATTGGTTTTTGCTTCTTTTGATCATAGCTTTTACCGTTTTGAGATCAGTCAAAGCTCAAAATCAAGCAGGTTCTTGATAACATGATGATGTTTATGATTACTCTGTTTTTCACACAATTATATGATTATAAGTATTTTCTTTGATGATTATATGTCTGGTGTTGATCATGAACAGGGTTCATCAGCTTGGATTGTGGGTTGGTGCCTAAGAACACAACTTATACAGAGAAGACGACGAATATAACATACAAATCAGACGCGGATTACATCGATAGTGGATTGGTCGGGAAAATCAATGATGCATACAAGACTCAATTTCAGCAACAGGTTTGGGCCTTGAGAAGCTTCCCTGTGGGTCAAAGAAACTGTTACAACGTCAACCTCACGGCAAAGAGCAAATATTTGATCAGAGGAACCTTTGTGTATGGGAATTACGACGGTCTGAATCAACTCCCGAGTTTTGATCTTCACATTGGTCCTAACAAATGGTCTTCTGTTAAAATACTAGGAGTAACAAATACTTCTATGCACGAGATTATCCATGTTGTACCACAAGATAGTCTTCAAGTTTGTCTTGTTAAGACCGGATCGACGACACCATTCATTTCGTCGCTCGAATTTCGTCCATTGAACAATGAAAGTTATCTCACGCAAAGCGGATCATTGATGTTGTTCGCCAGAATTTACTTTCCATCTAGTCCATCATCATTCATCAGGTGATTGTAAGGAAATATGTTTTAGGAAAATCTTTCTTGTTCTTTATGTGTTTTGAGTTAAAAAAAAATATCATCTCTTCAGGTATGATGAGGACATACACGACCGAGCCTGGAATGCATTCTCAGATGATGAAACTGTCTCGATAAGCACAGACCTCCCGATCGATACAAGTAACTCCTACGACATGCCTCAATCCGTGATGAAGACAGCTGCTGTCCCTAAAAATGCTAGTGAACCATGGCTCTTGTGGTGGACACTTGATGAAATCACTGCACAGTCATATGTATATATGCATTTCGCCGAAATCCAGAATCTAACAACCAGTGAAATCAGAGAATTCAACATTACTTACAATGGTGGTTTACGTTGGTACAGCTATTTTAGGCCTCCTATATTCAGCATTTCAACGGTCTTTAATCCAAGGGCAGTGAGTTCTTCGAATGGGATATTTAATTTCACATTCGCAATGACCGGTAACTCAACTCTGCCTCCCCTTCTCAACGCCCTCGAGATTTATACAGTCGTAGACCTTCTACAACTAGAGACAAACAAAGATGACAGTAAGTCTGTTCTTATGCCATTCTTTAATAGAAATAGTCTGTCTTTTAAACTTTTTTTTTGGTTTTTGAGATGAGTTTCAATGTGATGATCAGTTTCTGCTATGGTGAACATCAAAGAAACCTATGGTTTGAGCAAAAAGATAAGCTGGCAAGGAGATCCATGTGCTCCTCAGTTTTATCGGTGGGAAGGTTTAAATTGCAGTTATCCGGACGCCGAGGCATCACGGATCATATCCTTGTATGTTCTGTATTCTTAATCACAAGGTTCTCTGGTTTTGGAGTTTTCATAAATTCTAACCATTATAGATACATTTCTTGTTTCACAAACATTAGGAACTTGAATGGGAGCGAGTTGACCGGTTCCATAACATCTGACATATCCAAGCTAACACAGTTGACAGTACTGTAAGCATCCGAATCGCAACACCGATAACCTTAGTATGCTTTATTTCTGTGAGAGTTTGTAATAATTCTGCTTAAACTTTGGTTTCTCTGTTTAATAAACAGAGATTTATCAAATAATGATTTATCAGGAGAGATTCCAGCATTTTTTGCTGATATGAAGTCATTGAAACTCATGTGAGCTTCTTTTCACACTCTCGTCCTTTGTCTCTGCACTTATTTTTTTGATTTGATAGATGTAGTCTTTTCATTCTCAGAAACTTAAGTGGAAACCCGAAGCTTAATCTCACAGCAATTCCAGAATCTCTTCAGCAAAGGGTAAACAACAAATCTTTAACACTAATGTAAGATGATCATCCTTCAACAGTCCTTATATGTAGTGCCACAGTAAATAATCTATCTAATCCCTTCTTTGTTTTGGTTTCCCATCACTTCTTATGATTATAGCTTGGGTGAAAACCTGAATCTTTCTCCCAAAAAAGAGAGTAAAAAGGTTCCGATGGTTGCTATCGCAGCGTCAGGGGCTGGCGTGTTCGCTCTGCTGGTTATCTTCGCTATATTGTTTATCATTAAAAAGAAAAATGCAAAAGCTAATAAGTGTATGAATCTCCACCAGGTCTTGATACAAGTGAAAAATGAATACTTTTGCTCTGTTCATTTCACATATTTTATATTATTTTACAGCTCCAGGACCACCCCCATTAGTAACTCCCGGTATAGTTAAAAGTGAGACAAGATCATCCAATCCATCAATCATGACAAGAGAACGCAGGATCACGTATCCCGAGGTACTGAAGATGACTAATAACTTCGAGAGAGTTCTTGGGAAAGGAGGCTTTGGAACAGTTTATCATGGAAACTTGGATGGTGCTCAAGTGGCTGTGAAAATGCTCTCTCATTCATCAGCTCAAGGTTATAAAGAGTTCAAAGCAGAGGTACTTCAACAGATATGGATTTGTTAGTCCTTTTTTGAAAACATTACTTTCTCAATTATGAAGTTGTCATGTGACATTTTGATATCTTTCGTAGGTTGAACTTCTTTTAAGAGTTCACCATAGACATTTGGTGGGACTTGTGGGTTACTGTGATGATGGAGATAACTTAGCTCTGATTTATGAATATATGGCAAATGGAGACTTGAGGGAGAATATGTCAGGTAACACTTTTAACTTAGCGACTTTGATTTAATCGAATCCATCACTTTCCGTCGTTTAAAAATATTCAAAACCTGGTATAGGAAAATGTGGAGGCAATGTCCTTACTTGGGAAAACAGGATGCACATAGCTGTAGAGGCTGCACAAGGTGAACACAAAGTTGACTTATATTCTACCTTTGTCTGATTTATTAGCAGAAAATATTGTGTCTTGATGTTATTCGTCTTGTGATGTCTGAAAGCAAACTCGACATAAACAAAAACCTTTTGTAACAGGACTGGAGTATCTGCACAATGGATGTAGGCCTCCTATGGTCCATAGAGATGTAAAAACTACTAACATCTTATTGAATGAGCGGTGTGGAGCGAAACTAGCCGATTTTGGGCTTTCGAGATCTTTCCCAATCGATGGTGAATGTCATGTCTCAACAGTGGTTGCGGGTACACCTGGTTACCTAGACCCGGAGTGAGTGAGATCAATCAAATTTTAAGAGTTGTGTTGTTGAGGCCAAAAAAAATATGAAAGGTTTTAATTCATTTGATACTCTTCTCAGGTACTACAGAACAAACTGGCTAAGTGAGAAGAGTGACGTGTACAGCTTCGGTGTAGTGCTATTAGAGATAGTCACAAACCAGCCTGTGATAGATAAAACCCGAGAGAAACCTCACATTAATGAATGGGTTGGGTTCATGCTCACTAAAGGAGACATCAAGAGCATCGTTGACCCGAAACTGATGGGGGACTATGATACAAACGGTGCATGGAAGATTGTGGAGCTAGCCCTAGCCTGTGTGAACCCGTCTTCAAACAGGAGACCAACAATGGCACACGTTGTGATGGAGCTAAACGAATGTGTGGCCTTAGAAAATGCAAGGCGACAGGGTAGTGAAGAGATGTACTCAATGGGTTCTGTTGACTATAGTCTCTCTTCTGCTTCTGAATTTGCTCCTGGAGCCAGATAAGTTGAGAATATCATTGATATATGTGATTTTATTGGAAAGCTATCTTGTTTTTATTTCTTTTCTTTGTGAGTTTCACAATGTATGTTTTGAAGAAACAATGTACATTCTACCTTCTTGGGTGCAGGTGCTACCTTTGTGATAATAAAATTACAATGTGCCTAAATTTGTTACAAATTAAAGACAGCTATAGTCCCTGAAAATACTAGTGCGCTTTTGAATTTAGGATAGAGTTTCGATGACACCACTATGCAATACGCACTCATACATATAAATGGATTAATTTTAGGATCTGGAAACTATTGAAACCAGATAATCCTCAACATTACCTTGGTACAGCTTTTTTAGTCCTCAAAGACTTGCGCGATAACAACTTTATTCAATCTAATGAGTTCTACAGATTGGAAATGCGATTTTACTTTTGCGATGAACGGTAGCTAAGTCAAGACACACCAAGACGAATGTAAGTTCTTAAAACCAATTCTTTAACCAATATTTTTTTTAATTATTATTTACTCTTATCTGGTTTCTGAGATGTTTTTGTAATGTGATCAGTTTCTTCTTTGATAAGTATCAAGAAAACAAATGAATTTAGCAGAAAGATCCACATTCTCCTCAATTATATCGATAGGACTGTGTAAACTGAAGTTATCCACAACCCGAGCCACCGCTAATCATATCTTTTTGTAATCTTGTAGGTTTAGTTGAACCATAACAAGGTTCTATAGTTCCGAGGTTTACAGAACACTAACTCTTTTGGATTACGTTTCTACTTTGTTGCTCTGTTTTGATTACTCTGTTTTGAAACTTTTGGTATTTACTATTTAGATATTTCGCTGAGAAAAATAAAGAGAAAAACTTTGTCTTAAAATGATTAATTATGTAATACCCATTATTTTACAATTTACGTATTAATGCATCAAGCACACCACAACTAATGACAGCTCAATTTTCGGAATCCTACAAATTTAGAAGTCAAGGGGTGACTAAAATCATTGGAGAGGTTGCATTGGCATGCACAACAATTACAGGCCTCATTGATATAAGAGACTTCGCAAACATGATCGTTGACTTTTGACGGTGAATCCATCCAGAACGACAAGGACACAAATCAACCAATGTAGTGCCATTCAAAAGTCAAAGTCAACGAGTCCGTGATAGTCTAGTAACTACACCGAAATTACATTTGTGGATTAATACTGCACCGGTATTTTGAGTTTACTTAAAGTCAACAGTTTTTTTGTTCTAAAGGACATAACAGTAATCACTCTTGTCATTGTTGACGTAAAACAAATACTTGTTTTCATTTTCAACCAACTTGAATCATTTTTCTCAATCAATTATTTATTCAATCTCATTAATGTTATAAGCAGTTGACTTGGACTTTTGAGAAGTAGCTCATATAGTCATATTCTCATATGCACAGCTTGCTATCTTAAAATAAAGCTCTCTCCTTTGGACAGTAAGGAAAACAATGGAGAGATATTGTGTGTTAGTTGCCATTTTTTTGCTGATACTTCATATTGTTCAAGCTCAAGATCAAACCGGTACGTACAAATTTGTTGTTTTTAATCTATATATGTGTATACGGTTTCTTAGATTATAAGATCTTTTTTCACCTATTGTCTTATTAGGATTCATTAGTGTGGATTGTGGTTTGCCATCTCGTGAGTCTCCTTACAATGAAGCCAAAACTGGTTTAACATATACATCAGATGCCGATTTAGTCAACAGTGGAAAAACCGGTAGAATCGCCAAGGAATTCGAACAGCTCGCCGATAAGCCTACTTTGACACTGAGATATTTTCCAGACGGAGTACGGAACTGCTACAATCTAAATGTCACCCGCGACACCAACTATCTGATAAAGGCCACATTCGTATATGGAAACTACGATGGTCTTAATGTTGGGCCAAATTTCGACCTTTACTTCGGTCCGAATTTGTGGACAACGGTGAGTAGTAATGACACTATAAAGGAGATCATCCATGTGACAAAATCCAATTCTTTACAGGTATGTCTTGTTAAGACAGGAATAAGTATACCTTTCATAAATGTTTTGGAGCTACGACCAATGAAGAAAAATATGTACGTTACTCAAGGCGGCTCACTGAATTACTTATTCAGGGTGTATATTAGCAATTCAAGTACTCGTATAAGGTAAGAACCGACTAAAAGTTTTATGTTGGATAATCATAGGTCGACTGGTCATTTGCATTTAATTACATGTTTTTAAAATAAAATAAAATTTTTTGACAAGAACATAGCAATATTCCACATGTCAAGTTGTTGCGTTTAAAACGATGGAAAGCCAAATGTCAGATTTAGTAATGTGATCTAATACATGATTGTGCAGGTTCCCGGATGATGTCTATGATCGTAAATGGTACCCGTACTTCGACAACTCATGGACACAAGTAACTACGACTCTCAATGTAAACACAAGTCTTACTTATGAACTACCACAAGGTGTGATGGCAACAGCTGCAACGCCCCTAAAGGCCAACGCGACCTTGAACATTACATGGACAGTAGAGCCTCCTACTACACAGTTTTACTCCTACATGCACTTTGCAGAGCTTCAGACTTTAAAGGCCAACGACACAAGGGAATTCAATGTGACGCTGAATGGAATTTATACATATGGACCTTATAGTCCTAAACCACTAAAAACCGAAACCGTATACGACAGAAGCCCAGAGCAATGCGATGGAGGGGCATGCCTTTTGCAGGTTGTGAAGACGCTGAAATCTACCCTTCCACCTTTACTTAATGCTCTCGAGGCTTTCACGGTGATTGATTTCCCGGAAATGGAGACTAATGGGGATGACGGTATGTCGATTCTTTACATTATTGATCTTATTGACAAATTATTTTGTGTTTATGTTTTGATTCTTGATATCACCAAGCTTTTACAGTTGATGCTATCAAGAATGTTCAAAATACTTATGGATTGAGTAGAATTAGTTGGCAAGGAGATCCATGTGTCCCCAAACAGTTTTTGTGGGATGGTCTAAACTGCAACAACTCGGATAATTCTACGCCACCAATAATCACTTCCTTGTGAGATTAATCGTTCAATACAAATTGTATCAATTTTGAATCATGTCAACTTTGTACTAACATCTTACACTTTTTTTTTCTAGAGACTTATCTTCAAGTGGACTAACTGGGATCATCACCCAAGCCATTCAGAATCTAACTAACCTGCAAGAACTGTAAGTATCTCAACCTATTTTTTTTTTGCCTTTGGAAATGAATCACATTTGACGGCTTCGCTTGGTTCTTCTTTGTTACTGGTAGGGACTTGTCAGATAACAATTTGACTGGAGAAATACCTAAATTTTTAGGGGACATAAAATCACTTTTGGTCATGTAAGTTTATAAAGAGAAACTACAAAAATATTAACTTTTTCTTTTGGTTATTAACTTTCTAAAAATAGTTTTGAGACTCTTTGTCTACTCCAACAGAAACTTAAGTGGTAATAATCTCAGTGGCTCAGTTCCTTCCTCACTTCTTCAGAAGAAAGGAATGAAGTTAAAGTAAACTATTTTTTTTTTTCTTTTGATAGTTATCATGCCGATTGATTCAATTGGGTATCTTTAACATCATTCACTTTTTTTCAGTGTCGAAGGAAACCCTCATCTTCTTTGCACAGATGATTCATGTGTGAAAAAAGGAGAGGATGGACACAAGAAAAAGAGCGTCATAGTTCCAGTTGTTGCATCAATTGTTTCAATAGCTGTTCTTATAGGTGCATTGGTTCTGTTTTTCATTCTTAGAAACAAAAGGTCACCAAAAGTTGAAGGTATCTTATCAATAAGCTCAAGAGTTATAATAAACATACATAAATATAAAACTTAAGTACTAAATCTGACTACATTTTTTTGCTTTAAAACTTAGGGCCGTCACCATCTTATATGCAAGCATCAGATGGTAGATCACCTAGATCGTCTGAACCGGCAATAGTGATGAAAAATAGAAGGTTTACTTACTCACAAGTTGCAATGATGACAAATAACTTCCAAAGAATCCTTGGAAAAGGAGGGTTTGGAATGGTTTATCATGGTTTTGTAAACGGTACAGAACAAGTAGCTGTTAAGATACTTTCCTATTCATCGTCTCAAGGATATAAACAATTTAAAGCTGAGGTAAGCTCTCACATTCATCATTAGCTCGAACCGAAAACATTAATTCAACTTTTTCTAAAGCTTGAACATGTGAGTTCTGGTTTGTTTTTAGGTAGAGCTTCTTCTTAGGGTTCATCACAAGAACTTGGTCGGTCTTGTTGGGTACTGTGACGAAGGAGAGAACTTGGCTCTTATTTATGAATACATGGCCAATGGAGATCTAAAAGAACATATGTCAGGTATAAAACAAAACAAATATGATAGTTTTATTTTGTTTAGTTCTGTGGAGGTAACATAAGACTTTGACACTAGTATGTTCCAGTTCTTTGTAGGTAAACATAAGAATTGAAATTAATCCCCCTTTTTTCATTTATAACACAGGAACACGTAACCGGTTTATTTTGAATTGGGGAACTAGACTAAAAATAGTCGTTGAGTCTGCACAAGGTAGGTTTAGAGATTACCCCCTAGTATTTTCCATTTTTTTTGTTTGTTTATTTGCTATTAATCAAAATGATTGTTGTGGCCTAGGACTTGAGTACTTGCATAATGGATGTAAACCACCAATGGTTCATAGAGATGTCAAAACCACAAATATATTGTTGAACGAACATTACCAAGCCAAACTAGCTGACTTTGGGCTTTCAAGGTCATTTCCAATTGAAGGTGAAACTCATGTGTCAACAGTTGTTGCTGGAACTCCTGGATATCTCGATCCCGAGTAAGTATTATGGCTTAAGATATTATGTTTGTTTTTAATGAGAAACAAACCTTTATAAATTTCCTCGTATTTCGTTTTCCAGATACTATAGAACAAATTGGTTGACAGAAAAGAGTGATATTTATAGTTTTGGGATTGTATTGTTGGAGATTATCACAAATCGACCCGTGATCGACCAAAGCCGTGAAAAGCCACATATAGCAGAATGGGTAGGATTAATGCTTACGAAAGGAGACATCAACAGCATCATGGATCCTAATTTAAATGAAGACTATGACCATGGTTCTGTTTGGAAAGCTGTTGAGCTAGCCATGAGTTGTCTCAATCCTTCTTCAACACGAAGACCGACCATGTCCCAAGTTGTTATTGAACTAAACGAGTGTATGGCATCTGAAAATTCAAGGGGAGGGGCGAGTCGGGATATGGACTCGAAGAGTTCCATAGAAGTAAGCTTGACCTTTGATACGGAACTGAGCCCAACGGCTCGGTAATTTACATAAAATAATTCTCTCGCCATGTGTAACATGGATTTTTATGTATCTGTTTCTATTTGATGTAATCAAATTTGTCTATGTGATATACATATCTTTGTTAATGAGCAATGAACTTCTTTATTAAACATGTGAATATAAGTTCAAATCCTTTTTCTTTCCTCATATGATACTTCAGTTTAATTTTAGTTGAGAAATTAGGAGGTGAAGATGGGAAAATGAAAAGTTATCGTACTTTTTACAGCTCCAACCACCCCCATTAGTCGATGCAAGTATAGTTAAAAGAGAGTGATATACTCTATATTTACCGCTTTATCATGGTTGTTAAGATCCATTTTATTGTGTTTCATTAGTATTTTCATTGTGTTTTGTTGCATTTAGTGTCCAAGTGAGTCTTCTTCCATTTTAGAAGTCCTATAGTGTCTTTGTGTGTCTTTTGTTGTGTTTTGTGTGTCTTTTGAGCAATTTCAGGTGACGACACACATTTGGATGCAAAGAAGAGAATTGATGATTCAGAACCAGTCCGAAGTCCCTCAAATATCGACTCAGATGGAAGTCTTTCATTGCGATTTAGCTTCAGAGCTCTTCATACAAGTTATAGGAAATTGAGTTACCTTTCCAACGGAGGTAAATTCAAGCGAATCAAAGCTTCGATGCAAGAATTATGGTGGTTTTAATGGAGATATATCACTATGGCGCGGAAAAGAACAAAGGAGGAGCCACTGAACATTTCAATCGACTTGTTGGTCGATTTAATGGTCGATTGGGACGATAACAGGCCGCAGACGAGAAGCAATCGAGGGAGCAATCGACCGATGCATCTATAGAAGCCTTTGCAAATTTTTGGGTTTGACCCGGTTTATCTCGGATCAACCCGGTTCGATTCTATTTTGTGTTTAAGCAATTTTTAGACATTTTGTAACCTAAGTTTTCTTCTCTAGAGTTGGATTTAGATCCAAACTCTCTTCTTGATATTTTGGATTGATCTTTAACAATTCATGCCACTTTAGTGAAGGATTCTTCATCTTTATCTTGTATCTTTATGTTTATGCATTTCCTTTTTATCTTTCACCATGTTTAGTAGTTAGTCTTTTTGTTGGATCATGGGTTATGCTAGATTAGGATAATTTGATGGTTAGATGATGATGATTTAGGTTGCTTATTGTTAGATCCTTCATCTAGGTTGCTCTTAATGCTAGTTTTGACTTGATCACTCAAAATCTAGACCTTAAGCAATTCATGCCCGGAAGGTGTTTGTGAAAATGCTTGAACCAAACCTTTATGAGCTTTACATATCTAGCCAATGGGAGTTGATGATTAGAGTGTTTAGTGAACCAATTGAACTTGTTATTAATGCTCAATGATCATTTGATTGCGAACGGAAGTTGTTGATGATTAGAAGATTAGTGAAGTGATTAGTACCATGGAAGTGGATTAGTCATATTTTTGAGTTTCATGTTCTAGGATGGTGCTTAATTCAACCTCTTGCATCATTGTTTGTTGTTAATCCATTCTCATGATAGTTAAACCCATGGTCCAATGCTTTTCTTTATTTTACTTCTTGCTTTCTTATCTTTTCATCAAAACAAAAACATAAAAAATCATTTCCTCTAGATTAGTTTAAATCTCGCATCTTTAGTGTTGCAATCTTTATTCCTTGTGGTTCGACATCTAAAATACTTCTGTTGATGCATTTAGATTATTCATTGATAAAAACGCATAGATCAGAGAGACAAATCATCCAATCCATCAATCCTGACAAAGGAACGTAGGGTCACGTATCCTGAGGTACATAAGATGACTAATAACTTTAAGAAAGTTTTTGGGAAACGAGGATTTGAAAGAGTGTCTAATGAAAACTTGAAGCAGTCTACTCTTATATATAGTGTGACTGTGTGACCAGAGAATTCTCAACAGCAATTAGGTGGTTGTAGGTCTATCTCTTGTATGATGGTCGGTGCGTTCTTTTATGGGCCCGAAATATTTGATTGCTGATCCTACAAATCACGATTAAGATCTTTTCGCCTTTGCTTTTTTGAGTTTAATTTAAAATTGTTGACAAAAAAAAATCTTTTTCGAGTTTTATCCTTACTACATTGTATATAAAATCAAGTTTTTGTAGGTCACCCATTATGAGATGACTCAAGCTCAAACATGTTCAACTCTAAACTTCTATCAGAATGTTTGACAAAAAAAATAAGTATATTTTTGTGACATACGTAACCAAATCAATTCTTTTAATCGCTCCTCATAGATCTCTAGAAATTTAGGCATTACAGTCACCCCACTTACCATGACGACCTTCATAAAGGCGGTGTGAAGCCACTTGAATCCACACCTGTCTAGATTCGGCTTTGATACCACGCCTTCTCTTAGTTTGTGGACCCTACCCTCGTACAATGACCGAAATAGTTGTTTATTGATTTTACAAATAAATCACAACAAGATAATTTCTTGTACTTTGTTCTTACACTCACAAGATACCAAAAAGCACTTTCTAGCATGTGAGCCATCTTGAAATTGCTCTAACTCAAAAATGTTTAACTTTAAAAATCTATCAGGATATTAGACAGAAAATATAAGTACACTTAATTTGGTAGCCGATTCAATTCTCTTAAATACTAGTAATGTACCACCATATTTTACCAAATCGAAGTATAACAAAGTTCAAGTTCACTTCTGCGATTATCGGTAACTCAACTGCTATTCTTATGAACGGTCAAGACTATAAACTCTCAAAAAAATCCATAGTTTGATACATGTTATGTCGTTTTGATGAAGTCTTAGAATTACCGATGGGAAGGTGTATTTAAGCTGAAATTATCTAAAAACATTTAGAATTATTATCTTGTATTCATCAAGCACATAACTAGTGAAGGCTACAGTTTCGGGTCAACGGCTGACTTAAAATCAATTACGAAATTTCATCTATCTAGTAGACTAGTACATATTAGGTTGCATAGACGTTTTGTCCACTTAATTTTTTTAATTTGATATTAATTCATTTTCCGGTCTGATCATTTAAAACTTGTATTTTCAGTGACTATCTACAATTTTTTAATAGCGAACATCGAAGTTAAATTTTCTTATTTTTATGACACTACATTTTAAAAAAACGAACAAAGTTTTATACTCTTAACAAAGGTTAAATATTTTGTTTGTAATATATTATATATATAAACTGCTTTTCTTTTCTTTTCTTTTCTTCTTTTAAATTATAAAATGTTATTTATTATTCTGTTGTTTACAAATCATGTTAGTTAATTAAATTTATGTGGTATAATATAATATACTAATTAATGTTAGAAACGCCAAAATTTTCTAAAATGCTCAGATTCTAGCTGCCAGATTATTTTGTCTAAAAACACTAGATGTAATATATGAAGTATTAAATTCATCAAGCACACAACTAGTGAAGGCTCCATTTTTGGTCACACAAATTAGAAATCAATTACGAAACTTCGATAAAAAATTTAAAGTCAGCAAATACGTCGACCACACCGAAATTACAGCGCGTAGTTTTTGAGTTGACTTAGCTCAGAAACAAAAATTGATGTGGAACTGTGGAAGCAACAAAGATTAGAATCTCGTACATGACAGTTATCTCTGCAACACTTGGATTTTTAATGAATGGTTCTCCATGTACGATATTTCTGCGATAGACATGTTTTCCGGGCAACACTCGAGACCACTACAAATGGCTTTGTGTGTGGTACTCTGGACCTCCTATAAGTTTTGGATTTTTAACAGACGGTTTTTCATGTACAACATTCTACGATGGACATGTTTTTCCTGTAACACTCGAGACAATTCCGAACGGCTCTACATGTGGTCCAATTACATCACTATTCTAAAAGAAACTGTGATATGGGAATCGAACTCATACCTAATATAAAAATATTAATGAATCCTTGGTTAACCATTGGACTGAAGGGACTTCCACGTTTCCTCTATTCTATTACGTAACTTTTTCTTATTATTCTTAGTTTTAAATATTCATTTTTACCTTACCATTTTATTATTAAGACAAGTACTCTTGTCTTTGTTGATGACAAATAAAATTAAAAAAAAACTTGTTAAATTTTGCAACTTTCTCTATCAAATCATTTTGTATCGGTAAGGAAATGTTATCAATTATTTGTTCAAACAATTCTTTAATCTTATTATGAGGTTTACTTTGAATTTTGTTAGTGGCTCATATAGTTGTATGCATTGCTTGATATCAAAACAAAAAAAAAGCTGTCATTTGGACGACGGCCAGAAGAACAATGAAGAGACATTGTGTGTTCGTTGCCATTCTTGTGCTAATATTTCATCTTGTTCAATCTCAAAATCAAACCGGTAAGCAAAAATTTGTTTGTATAATCTATGTGTGTGTGTTCTTCAACGGTTCTTAGTTTATTAGATTATTAAGTAATAATTCATCTATTGTCTTAACAGGATTCATCAGTGTAGATTGCGGTTTATCCCCTACCGAGTCACCATACAATGCACCTCAAACAGGTTTAACATATACATCAGATGCCGGTTTAATAAACAGTGGGAAGACTGGTAGAATCGCCAATGAATTGGAACCATTCGTCGATAAGCCGGCTTTGACAATGAGATACTTTCCAGACGGAGTACGAAACTGCTACAATCTAAATGTCACCCGTGACACCAATTATCTGATCAAGGCCACATTCGTTTATGGAAATTATGATGGTCTTAATGTCGACCCGAACTTCGACGTTTACTTTGGTCCAAATCTATGGACAACGGTGAGTAGTAATGACACGACAGAGGAGATCATCCATGTGACAAAATTCAATTCTTTGCAGATCTGTCTTGTTAAGACAGGAATAAGTATACCTTTTATAAATGTTTTGGAGATACGACCATTGAAGAAAAATGTGTACGCTACTCAAAGCGGTTCACTGAAGTACTTATTCAGGGTGTATATGAGCAATTCAAGTCGTCGTATAAGGTAAGAAACGATCGAAATTTTTATCTAACATAAACATATGTCTCGATTGATTGTTTAATTTAATTTATGTTTATATTTCGTTTACTAATAAATTTTCTATGGGTCGTTAAAAAGAAAAAAAAAAAAGGTAAACAAATTTTTTGAACTTATAAACGCGAAATCAAAACTACAAAATCAGAAAGTGGTATTTTGTGTTTTCATTTATAATTTGTAAGAAAAAGTGAAAAACATATTATTATTTCGGTTAAAAAATACCAATACTTACATGTCAATTTGTAGTTTATGATTTTGAAACGATAGCCATATGTCTGATTAGTAATGCGATCTAATACAAGATTGTGACAGCCTTTTTTTTTGGCTAAACGATTGTGACAGGTTCCCGGATGATGTCTATGATCGGAAATGGTACCCGGTCTTCCAGAACTCATGGACGCAAGTAACTACGAATCTCAATCTAAATATTAGCACTATTTATTATGAACTACCACAAGGTGTAATGGCAACAGCCGCAACGCCGCTAAACACTAATGCGACCTTGAACATTAAATGGACAATAGAGCCTCCTACTACACCATTTTACTCCTACATTCACTTTGCAGAGCTTCAATCTCTAAGGGCAAATGATACACGAGAATTCAATGTGACGTTGAATGGAGAATATACATTTGGACCTTATAGTCCTAAACCGCTAAAAACCGAAACCTTACAAGACTTAAGCCCTGAGCAATGTACTGGAGGGGCATGTATTTTGCAGCTCGTGAAGACGCTGAAATCAACTCTTCCGCCTCTACTTAATGCTATTGAGGCTTTCACTGTGATTGATTTCCCGCAAATGGAGACAAATGAAGATGATGGTATGTCTTTTTTACATCATTGATCTTATCTACAAGTCCTTGTGTTTATTTATTCTTGATATCATTAAGCTTTGCAAATGCAGTTACTGGTATCAACAATGTTCAAAACACTTATGGATTGAATAGAATCAGTTGGCAAGGAGATCCATGTGTCCCCAAACAGTTTTTGTGGGATGGTCTAAATTGCAACAACTCAGATATTGCTACACCACCAATAATCACTTCCTTGTGAGAAGATTCATTTGATCATTTCTATTATTTTAAATCATATCAATTTCATATCTCACACTTTATGTTTTCAGAGACTTATCTTCAAGTGGTTTAACTGGGGTCATCACACAAGGCTTTAAAAATCTAACCCATCTTCAATACCTGTAAGTATCTCTGCGGCTGACCAGACCTCAAATTCTTTTCACTGTTGGAAATGAATCATAGTTGATATGTTCTTTATTATTATCCTTCGCAAGGGACTTGTCTGATAACAATTTAACTGGAGAAATACCTAAATTTCTAGCTGACATCCAATCACTCTTGGTTATGTAAGTTTCTTTTTTGCCTTTTACATTTTTCATGGGACATTAATGCATGGTACATTACATGTTTTTGCCTTTTAACTTTTTCTCTATAATTTTGCTTTAACTTTCTCCAAAACATGATTGCTTATGTTTTGACTCTTCAACAGAAACTTAAGTGGTAATAATCTCACTGGCTCGGTTCCTTTCTCACTTCTTCAGAAGAAAGGATTGAAACTAAAGTAAACTACTTTCGTTTTTTTCCGGATTTTTTTCCAATAGATATGTTTACTATGTCTTTAACCACATAAAATGTTTCAGTGTCCAAGGCAATCCTCATCTCCTTTGCACAGATGGTTTATGTGCAAACAAAGGAGATGAACATAAGAAAAAGAGCATCACAGTACCACTTGTCGCATCGATTGCTTCAATAGCTGGTCTTATATGTGCATTGGTTCTTCTTTTTATTCTCAAAAAGAAAACGCCATTAAAATTTGAAGGTATATATATACTCCCTCCGTTTCATAAAGAGTGTCGTTTTAAGGTTTTATTTTTGTTTCACAAAGAGTGTCGTTTTAGGTTTTCAATGCAAAATTTAATGATTTTTTATGTTTTATGACTATTAGTATTCTGCATATTGTTTTACTATTGGGCAGATTATGTTTAGGTATATAGTTAATGATGTTTTTGTTTAAAAAAAAAAAATTTTAATATTTTCTTAATCTGTGTGCAAAACTCTAAAATGACACTCTTTGTGAAACAGAGGGAGTAATAACTAAGCTCAAGAGTAATACCACTATATACATAAATATTAAACTTAAGTTCTAATTCTGACTACATTTTGTTTTGTTGTTTTGCACCACAATCATATGTACAAGCTTTAGATCGTAGATCCCCTAGATCAGCTGAGCCAGCAATATTGACGAAGAATAAACGGTTTACTTATTCAGAAGTTATGATAATGACAAATAACTTCCAAAGAGTCCTTGGGAAAGGAGGGTTTGGAATTGTTTATCATGGTTTTGTAAATGGTACTGAACAAGTAGCTGTTAAGATACTCTCCCATTCTTCATCTCAAGGATATAAACAATTCAAAGCTGAGGTAAATTCACACTTTCATCACTATCTAAAATGTAAGCATCAATGATTCAAATATTTTTAAGGATATATAACTTTTGATTTCTGTCTGGGTGTTTAGGTAGAACTTCTTCTTAGAGTTCATCACAAGAATTTGGTTGGTCTCGTTGGGTATTGCGACGAAGGAGAGAACATGGCTCTTATCTACGAATACATGGCCAATGGAGATTTAAAAGAACACATGTCAGGTAAGACAATAATAATGACTAATTGTATTTTATCAGTTCATATATAATACTTTAGAATTTATCTCTTGTCTTGTTTTAAAACACAGGAACACGTAACCACTTCATTTCAAATTGGGGAACTAGACTAAAAATAGTCGTTGAATCTGCCCAAGGTTGGTCTAGAGATTCCATCATCTGTTCTTATATATATGTTTGTTTCGGTTTTTTTTTTTTTTGTTTTTTTTTCCATTTACTTGAACTTTGCAATATTGTCAAAACTAATGTTATTTGTGGCATAGGACTTGAGTATTTGCATAATGGATGCAAACCACCAATGGTTCATAGAGACGTCAAAACAACAAATATATTGTTGAATGAACAATTTGATGCCAAACTTGCTGATTTTGGGCTCTCGAGATCATTCCCGATTGAAGGTGAAACTCATGTGTCAACAGCTGTTGCTGGAACTCCTGGATATCTCGATCCCGAGTAAGTATTACCTCTTAAGAGATTATCCTTTTCCTTCAATGACAAAGCAATAACATAAAATTTGTAATCTATTTTGTTTTCCAGATACTACAGAACAAATTGGTTGACAGAAAAGAGTGATGTTTATAGTTTTGGGGTCGTATTGTTAGAGATTATCACAAACCAACCTGTGATCGACCAGAGACGTGAAAAGCCACATATAGCAGAATGGGTTGGGAAAATGCTAACAAAAGGAGACATAAAAAAACATTATTGATCCAAGTCTAAATGGAGATTATGATTCCACTTCTGTTTGGAAAGCTGTTGAGCTAGCAATGTGTTGTCTTAATCCTTCTTCAGCTAGAAGACCGACCATGTCTCAAGTTGTTATTGAATTAAACGAGTGTTTGGCATCTGAAAATTCAAGGGGAGGAGTGAGTCGAGACATGGACTCGGAAAGTTCTATAGAAGTAAGCTTGACCTTTGGTACCGAAGTGAACCCAATGGCTCGGTAGTTTCATGAATAATTCTCCTGTAATATCATCACATGAATTTTGTTTAATCTGTTTCTTTTATGTAATCAAATATGTGTCTCTAATGTATCGGTCACATTTATTAATGAGCTATAAACTTCTTTATTGATACATGTGAATAAAAGCTCAAGTCTACAAGGAGGGACTTTAATTTTGGTTCCAAACTTGTAGCTCATAAATCTCTTGTTTTCTTATTCTTAGCTAGTTCTATAATCTGCTAGTTCCACTTCAAAAAACTCAACTCTCATTGTTGCACTCGTTTTACAAACGGTTTTTTTGTTGAATACAATTTTACATTCATACAAAAAAAAAAAGAATAAAAGCTCAAGTCTCTTTTTCCCTAATATCACTCTTTAGTTCAAATTCAACATTAGATGAAAAAATGGTTTTGAAAGAGAAGAAAATTTTATCTGGATATTGGCATAAACAGAGTATCAATAACGAAGACTATTTTTATTATCTGACTTCAGCTTGTTATTGAATTCTTGAATCGTCTCTTTCTAAAAACTTTGTGTTTAGCTAGATCCCTCTTGAATGTATCCTTGTGTGGTTAATCGAAGTATACTTCTTCAGTGATTTCTTCATTTTAAAAGTAAATGATTTTTACATAGTTGATGTAAACTCTATTTTTACATAGTATATATCATGTCTTGAGATAAGTGAGGCTTCTCCATAAGACTGTGTGCACCCTCTTGCAACCAACCTTGCTTTTATCTTTTGCCTTTCTTCATTTTTAGTCGGTCTTGATCTTGTAAATCCATTTGGCTCCCACTAGTTTTCTGTTTTTCTGTGAAACACGTATGATTTTTGTTGATCATCCAGATTTCTTCATCCATTCAAGTCTCCAATTTCTTCATTAATAGCATAATGAATTTGGTTTAATCGAAATCCGCTAAACTAAAATTTTCCACCGAAAAATATATGTATATGACTAAAATCATCGGAGGTTGCATTGGTATGCACAAACACTATAAACTCGACGTAATTCGAGTTTGAGAGATATTACGGACTTCTTCAAAATACACTATAAGTCTTTGACCCCAACAAAAAGCAAAAAAAAAAAAAAAAAAACGATGTACTATTAGCTTTATGATCGTTGACTTTTGACGGTGGAGATTCAATTACGAATTAATCGACATATAAAAGTCAAATTCAACGAATACGTAAGATCATTCATTAGAACTTAATCGTTATGGTTTAATGCACGTCTCCTTTCAAGTTATTATTCCTCGTTTTTAGACGTCGACTACAGCGAAAACAAAGCGTGTTATTTTGCGTTGACGGTTTAGTGGTCTAAAGTACATGGGAGTGTTTTCGACGACCACTAAATAACTCTTGTCATTGTTGACGATAAAACAAAATAATTTGTCTTTTTCTCACAACTTGTTCAATCGAATTATTTTCCATCCTGGAAAAAATTTCTCAATTATTTATGTAGCTGACTTAGGACTTTTAATAAGTGGCTCATATTGTCATATATACTCATATGCATAGCTTGATATCTAAAGAAAACGCTCTTTCTTTTGGACAGTAAGAAGAAAAATGGAGAGACATTGTGTGTTTATTGCCACCTTTTTGCTGATACTTCATCTTGTTCAAGCTCAAAATCAAACTGGTACGCACAAATTTGTTGATTTAATCGATATATGTGTTGTTAAACGGTTTCTTAGTTGATACGTTATTATTTTTTCATCTATTGTCTTATATATTAGGATTCATTAGTGTGGATTGTGGTTTATCCCCTCTTGAGTCTCCTTACGATGCACCACAAACGGGTTTAACATATACATCAGATGCCGATTTAGTAAACAGTGGGAAAACCGGTAGACTCGCTAAGGAATACGAACCGTTCGTCGATAAGCCGACTTTGACACTGAGATACTTTCCAGAGGGAGTACGAAACTGCTACAATCTAAATGTCACCCGCGACACCAACTATTTGATTAAGGCCACATTTTTATATGGAAATTACGATGGTCTTAATGTTGGGCCAAACTTCAACCTTTACCTCGGTCCGAATTTGTGGACAATGGTGAGTAGCAATGACACTATAGAGGAGATCATCCATGTGACCAAATCCAACACTTTACAGGTGTGTCTTGTTAAGACGGGAATAAGTATACCTTTTATAAATATGTTGGAGCTACGACCGATGAAGAAAAATATGTACGTTACTCAAAGCGGTTCACTGAAGTATCTATTCAGGGGGTACATTAGCAACTCAAGTACTCGTATAAGGTACATAAACATATGTCTCGATTAGTTGTTTGCATAAATATGTTATCTAAAATTCATTTTCTATACAAAACAAAAATATCAACTGATCTTCTCAAGAAATATTATTTATTTTTAAACAATTTTAAAAACATTTATAAATGTAAACAGAAACTACTATTTCACATGTCAATAGTCGTTGTGTTTGAAACGATGGAGGAAAGCCATATGTCAGATTAGTAATGTGATCTAATACATGATTGTGCAGGTTCCCGGATGATGTCTATGACCGTAAATGGTACCCACTCTTTGACGACTCATGGACACAAGTAACTACGAATCTCAAAGTAAACACAAGTATTATTTATGAACTACCGCAAAGTGTAATGTCAAAAGCCGCAACACCAATTAAGGCTAACGAGACCTTGAACATTACATGGACAGTAGAGCCTCCTACTACACAGTTTTACTCTTACATACACATTGCAGAGCTTCAGACTCTAAGGGCTAACGATACAAGGGAATTCAATGTGACACTAAATGGAGAATATAGTTTTGGACCTTTTAGTCCTATACCTCTAAAAACCTTATCCATAGTCGACTTAAGCCCAGAGCAATGCGATGGAGGGAGATGCATTTTGCAGGTTGTGAAGACACTCAAATCTACCCTTCCTCCTTTACTTAATGCTATCGAGGCTTTCACCGTGATTAATTTCCCGCAGATGGAGACAAATGGAGATGATGGTATGTCAATATTTACATTCTATATCTTATCTACAAAGCTTTGCGTTTTATGTTTTGATTCTTGATAACATCAACCTTTACAGTTTCTGCTATCAAGAATGTTCAAGATACTTATGGATTGAGTAAAATTAGTTGGCAAGGAGATCCATGTGTCCCCAAACAGTTTTTGTGGGATGGTCTAAACTGCAACAATTCAGATATTTCTACGCCACCAATAATCACTTCCTTGTGAGATAAATCCTTCAATACAATTTGTATCAATTTTTTGAATCATGTCAATTTTAAACTAATATCTTACACTTTTTTTTTTCTCTAGAGACTTATCTTCAAGTGGACTAACTGGGATCATCACCAAAGCCATTCAGAATCTAACTCACCTGCAAGAACTGTAAGTATCTCAACGGTTCACCAAACCTCAATTTTGTTTGTCCTATGGAAATGAATAACATTTGACGGCTTGGTTCTTCGTTGTTACTGGTAGGGACTTGTCAGATAACAATTTGACTGGAGAAATACCAGAATTTTTAGGCGACATAAAATCACTCTTGGTCATGTAAGTTTATAATGAGACAATACAAATTATTATTTTCTTTTGGTTAAACTTTCTTAAAATAGTCTTGACTCTTTGTCTACTCCAACAGAAACTTAAGTGGAAATAATATCAGTGGCTTAGTTCCTTCATCACTTCTTCAGAAGAAAGGAATGAAGTTAAAGTAAACTATTTTTTTCTTTTGATTGTTATCATTCCGATTGATGGAATTGAGTATCTTTAACAACACTAACATTTTGCAGTGTCGAAGGCAACCCTCATCTTCGTTGCACAACGGGTTCGTGTGACAACAAAGAAGAGGATAGACATAAGAATAGGAGCATTATAGTGCCAGTGGTCGCAACAATTGCTTCAATAGCTGTTCTTGTAGGTGCATTGGTTCTGTTTTTTATTCTTAGAAATAAAAATTCACCAAAATTTGAAGGTATATTATCAATATATAAGCCCAAACTTCATTCCTTTGTTAATATCACGTACATAAATATTAAACTTAGTACTCAGTCTGACTTCATTTTTTGGTTAAAACCCTTAGGGCCACCACCATCTTATATGCAAGCATCTTCTGAACAGGCGATAGTGACGAAAAATAGAAGGTTTACTTACTCACAAGTTGTGATAATGACAAATAACTTCCAAAGAATCCTTGGGAAAGGAGGATTTGGAATTGTTTATCATGGTTTCGTGAACGGTACAGAACAAGTAGCTGTTAAGATACTCTCTCATTCATCATCTCAGGGATATAAACAATTCAAAGCTGAGGTAAACTCTCCCCTTCATTACAATCTCAAACGAAAACATACAACTATTTCTAAAAAATTTAACTTGTAAGATTTGGTTTGGTTTTTAGGTAGAACTTCTTCTTAGAGTTCATCACAAGAACTTGGTCGGTCTTGTTGGATATTGCGACGAAGGGGAACACTTGGCTCTTATCTATGAATTCATGGCCAACGGAGATTTAAAGGAACATATGTCAGGTAAAAGCCAAAGATGATTGAATATCTTTTCCAGTTCTTTGTAGGTAACATAAGAATCAAACTTAATCCCTCTTTTTTCTTTTAAACCACAGGAACACCTAACCGTTTTATTTTGAATTGGGGAACTAGACTAAAAATAGTCGTCGAGTCTGCACAAGGTTGGTTTAGAGATTAACCCCTAATAGTTCCCATTGTTTGTTTATTTGCTATTAGTTAAAATGATTGTTGTGGCCTAGGACTTGAGTACTTGCATAACGGATGCAAACCACCAATGGTTCATAGAGATGTCAAAACCACAAATATATTGTTGAACGAACATTTCCAAGCAAAACTAGCTGATTTTGGGCTTTCAAGATCATTTCCAATTGAAGGTGAAACTCATGTGTCAACAGTTGTTGCTGGAACTCCTGGATATCTCGATCCCGAGTAAGTATTATTGCTTGAAATATTCTGTATTTTTTTAACGAGAAAGGAACTTTATATATTTTTGTTATGTATTTTGTTTTCCAGATACTATAGAACAAATTGGTTGACAGAGAAGAGTGATGTTTATAGTTTCGGGATTGTATTGTTGGAGATCATCACAAACCGACCCGTGATCGACCAAAGCCGTGAAAAGCCACATATAGCAGAATGGGTAGGAGTACTGCTTACAAAAGGAGACATTAAGAGCATTATGGATCCAAGTCTGAATGAAGATTACGATTCTAGTTCTGTTTGGAAAGCTGTTGAATTAGCAATGTGTTGTCTAAATCCTTCTTCAGCGAGACGACCGACCATGTCCCAAGTTGTTATTGAATTAAACGAGTGTCTGGCATCTGAAAATGCAAGGCGAGGAGTGAGTCGGGACATGGAATCGAAGAGTTCTATAGACGTCAGCTTGACCTTCGATACCGAAGTGAGCCCAACGGCTAGATAATTTACATAAATAATTATTTCGCAGTATCACATGGATTTTTGTTTATCTATTTCTGTTTGATGTAAGTCAAATTTGTGTATCTTTGTTATTGAGCTATGAACTTCTTTATAAAATATATGTGAATAAAAGTTCCCGGTCTTTTTTTTTTTTCCTAATGTGATACTTCAGTCCAAATTCAGCTAAGAAATTATCCGAGGAAATGACGTTTAAAGAACTGTGGAAATTGCTTCAAATCGAAACAGAAAAATCAAAGTCTTTGTTTATGTTTGAGTAAATCAATAAGATAGGGAGAAAATAATGTGTCTGGTTTCACAACAGAGTAAAACAGAGGGAACTAAAAGACAGAGTTAGTGAACAAACAGAGGAGACAAGGACTCTGTTTTCAGATAAAATAAGATAAATTAGAGCAAAATAGAGCCTCTCTTCCGACAGGGTGATCAAATAGAAAATAACAAAACAGAGATTCCCTTTCAAACAGAGTGATTGAGGAAAACAGAGGAGAGAGACTCTGCTTCCACAAGAGTGATTGAATAAAACAGAGTAGCAGAGACTCTATTTTGCTATGTAAGTAAAACCCCTTGAATAGTTACTCGTAAAATGCTTAATCAATTGCATGTACAACAGAATTACACAAACATATATGAGCCGTAAAACTAGTTTTTCTTTTTCATATGTTTTGTGAGTGGTGTATTAGTAGATGGCATGTCCCGGTTTAAAACTTTAGTGACAACCTAAACCAGCATTTAAAGTATAAATTATGAGCCACTGTTTCAGTTCTTAAATTTCAACTCGAAACAATGCAGTGCAAACAAAGTCAAAGTCAATAACTAGATGAACTATAGAAGGTTGTGGTGGACCGTGGACACAAATCTCCTTCTTTGAGCGACCTTGGAGCAGGGAAGCCAAGTGTCCACGTCTTCTTATATTTTAAATCCGACTTCTACCTTGCCAACATATAAAATCTACCCAATTGATAAGTTTAAGAAATGCTTCAGGTTTTTTTTTTTTTTTCCAAGTAGAGGTGGATATTGCTGTTTAGAATCGAGTTTGGTTTTGTGCGGTTTGCGAGAAACTTCTCAAGCTCAAACGCTTTTATGTTTTCAGTCTGATTACGGTTTGATCATAATATATAATTATATGTACTTTCAGTCTGATTACGGTTTCGCTTATTATGGTTTAGTTCGGTTTGAGAAGAAACGTACCAGTCTAAAACACGATCACTTCTGTCAGGATAGGTATGATTTGATTTAGTTTAAGTTTATGCCCACCTCTAGTTTCAGGCTCTTCTTTATCATTTTGATGGCATTTACAACGTGTACGTAGTCTTCAACTTCTAAAAATAGATGTCAGAACTTTAAGATGACCAAGAGGGTTTGGAGTTGAACAACTCAATGAGTCAATGACTCTTTAGGACATGGTCGCATGGGAGAATCTTCGACCACCACTACTTTTTTGTGTCATCTTCTAATATTAAATTTCTCCCATATTGCTCTCAGCCGGCATCAGTTTACAGCCAGAAAATATTCTTAAGTTAAATATTCTTAAATTTGACATTACAATAAGTCTGTCACAAATTGTTAAAGTTTGTGGTTGAATGAAAAAAAACCTATAAAAAAACAAATCTGCTAAAATTCTATAAGTCTGTCGTAACCATATTATAAATAATTTGTCAAGCAAATAAGTCTGCCAAAATAATTCTGTCACAGACAAATAAGTCTGTTGTTTATAAATTAATCTGTCACAACTAGATAGCAGATTTTTCTAAAATTGCTGGAATTTTTTATGAAGGATATTTTTGTATTTTTTTTTTTACACATGAGACAAGGGTATTTTAGACATGAAAATAACTCATTTAACCCCAATTATTTGTGAGTCAATCTAGTAATTAAACTCAAAATTTGGGTTAATTTAGTAACTCTCCCATGTTTATATCTGAAAGTTAGTTTACCTCGATGATGAAATATATGCCCTATTTGTTTCCTATTAATATCACTAGTGATTGGAACCCCGCTTTGCGAAGACTTAAATAGACTTTTAAAACTTTGTTTAAAGTATTTGATGTGATAAAACTATCTAAACGGTAAATTGTAAACTGTATATATATATATTGACATTAATATCTTGGACACTAAGATATTTTGAATACATATTAATGTCAAAATAAAATTAGGATTTGTCAGATCACTAATGAGACAATCAGACATTTTTTCGAGAATAGTATTTAGAATACATTTTTTTTTAATGAATAATCGAATACATTTTCTCATTATACCCATCTTAATGTGGTATATATATTTCTAATTTCGGTAGTGAATGTTGTTTAAAAATTCCATTGGTATGAACTGCATATTAAAAAAAAATATTTTAAAGTCACACTCAGAGAATGACATCAACATTTTTTTTACTTCAGCTTTATTACATTGGAGAAACTAGTCGTGTTTTAATTAAGAGTGGACCTTGACAAAACTTTAGTGTTTATTAATTTGTTTCTAAATGTCACTTGGGAAGTGGCTCATATTATATGCATGAATTGATATCATAAATTAAAATCTCGTTTGAGTTTGTGAAATGTTGAAATATCCTTTCAGAAAGTCAAGAAGGGAAATGGAAAGATATGGTGTGTTCTTTGTGATTCTTTTACATCTATTACATCTTGTTCAAGCTCAAGATCAAAACGGTACGTATGTGTTTTCTACATTTTATATTCTTGGGATATTCAAGTTATATTCTGAGTTTACTAATATAGCTCGTACATGCCTTTATATATAGGATTCATAAGTTTGGATTGCGGGTTGTCCCCCAATGACTCTCCCTATGAAGAACCTGAAACCAAATTGATATACACATCAGATGCCGATCTAATCCAGGGTGGGAGAACTGGTAGAGTCGAGGAGACGTCGCGATATTTCATCAAGCCATCTTGGACACTAAGATATTTTCCAGATGGAGTTCGAAACTGCTACAATCTAAACGTCATGCAAGGCACAAGATATATGATCAGGGCTATTTTCATATATGGAAATTATGATGGTCTTAATGTCGACCCGAGTTTTGATCTGTACTTTGGGCCCAATTTGTGGAAAACAGTGAATACTAGTGAAGCTTTCATGGAGGAGGTTATCCACGTAATGCGATCCAACTCTTTGCAGGTTTGTCTAGTTAAGACTGGAACAAGTACGCCTATGATAAATGTCCTGGAACTAAGGCCGCTGAGAACAGATATGTACATTACTAAAAGCAAATCATTGCAACTCTTGGGACGGAATTATTTCCGCATTTCAGAAGCCGTAATAAGGTAAATATATTATAACTAAAATTTACTGTTATAGATTTTGCATAGGATGTTCTACAACATGAATATACAAGATTGTACCAGGTACCCTGATGACGTATATGATCGGCTTTGGGCTCCGGGATTCTTGGAGGACGAGTGGGCCCCATTTAATACGACTATCAATATAACAAGTTCTAGTTATGATCTTCCTCAATCAGTGATGGCTAATGCTATAACGCCCTTAGACCCTAAAAAGTCGTTGAACATAACATTGAACATAAGTTCTGATACCACAGAATCTCCCACAACAGAGTTTTACCTCTACATGCACTTTGCAGAGCTTCAGACCTTGAAGGCCAACGAAACCAGAAAGTTTAATATTTTGATTGATGGAAAACCGATCTTTGATAATCCTTATAGTCCGAAGTTTCTAACAGCCGATAGTTTACAAGACCCAACACCACAACAATGCGATGAAGGGAGTTGCAATTTCGAACTGGCGAAAACGTGGGATTCAAATCTTCCACCTTTGATTAACGCTATCGAAGGCTTCACTGAGATTGATTTCTCGTTATTAGAAACAAACGGAGCTGATGGTATGTCATTTTAATGCGTTGATTTATTGATTTTTTTTTTATTTGTTGTGAAGTTTTTGTTGATTTGTTGAATTTTTTTTTTTTTTTAAATATGATCTGATCTGCTTTATATATAATTTTGTTAGTGGCTGCTATCAAGAGAATCCAATCTGCTTATAGATTGAATAAAATCAGTTGGCAAGGAGATCCATGCGTCCCTAAAAAGTTCTTGTGGGACGGTCTAAAATGCAATAGCTTTGATAATTCTACGTCACCAATAATCACTTTCTTGTACGTAAGATCATTCTTATCAATCGTTTATATTCTTATTTTCTTACATTTGAAATAATATTCATGAGTGAGTCATTACTAGAAACTTGTCTTCAAGTTCACTGAATGGGAGCATCACCTCTGCCATTCAGAATCTAACCAATCTGCAAGAACTGTAAGTATCACCACACATTAGGAAAAGTAAACATTATTAGTATTGTTTTTGTAGAGAAATTGTACCATGAATTTTTTGCTTTTATCAATGTCAGAGACTTGTCAAATAACAATTTGACAGGAGGTATACCGGGATTTCTAGCGGACATGAAATCGCTATTGGTCATGTTAGTTTTACTAAACAACATGAAAATCTATTTTTTTTTTCTTTCTTTTGCGTATGCTTAACCTATTTGTTCATCTTAACAGAAATTTAAGTAGGAACAATCTCAATGGTCCAGTTCCCAAAAAGCTTATAGAGAAGAAAGGATTGAAGTTGAAGTAAGATTTCTCATCCTGTCATTGTTTGATGATTACCTTCTGTCGTTTCAGGTGATTGTCTTTAGACAGGTGGGCTGAGTTGAAATGAATGGGCCGGTCAAGGCCCAGTCGGAGTCTGCTAAGAAACTTAAGCCCAGGAACAAGAAACGGCAGATGTGAGAGCGTTTTTGGTGCTTTGATGGTCACTGGTCGTACAGTGTTGTCGGGTAGCACCTGCAAGAACGGCGAAGGCTCAGCTTATAAAAGGACAGTGTCATCAAGCTTGGAGGATAAGCCATTCAGTCATTATTGAGAGAGAAAGTCTAGAGAGAGAGTTGTGAGAAACAAGGGTTTGAGGGTTTTACTCTTGAGTGTCTTCTTGTGTGTAACTCTTTGGTGTGGGTTTTCTTTCTGTAAAGGGTGAGAGTGGTGTGACATAGAGAGCTTGTACTGTTCGGTAAAAGATAAGAGTGCCTAGAGAGCTGGTTGAAGCTCTCCGAGACGTACCTTGACTGATTTGGTCTTGGGAACTCGTAAATCTCGTGTCTTGTTTCTTTCTTGCATAACAAACTACAGCAAACAAACATAAAGGTTAGAGCTTTATCACAAGATCAGAAACACTTGGTGAAAGACTCAACAGTGGTATCAGAGCTCGGTTCCCAGAAGTTTCTGAAGGTAAAGTTTCAATCTTTAAAAGCTTTAAGACCTCTAAAGGTGTCTACTGTTAAAAACTCAGAAAGGTCTCACCTTTAAGACTCATTTCTTCACCGGTGCTAGGGTAGAGGGTCTTGAAGGTTATTTCTAGGGTTTTACAGAAGGAAAGTAGAGGAAAGGTGTGAGCTTTGGTGATTTTACCTGAAAAGGTGATAACTTTGGGTGAGTTTCAGACTAAGGAAGATGTTGGAACCTACTCAAGGCAAGTTTGAAGTCAGTAAGTTTGATGGTGAAGGTGACTTTACTCTCTGGAAGCACAGGATGCGCGGTCAGTTGGAGATCTTGGGTTTTGGCTCCATGCTTAAGCCCAAGAAACCTGAAGAAGAGGGAGAAAAGTCAGATCCACTATGGGATGAGAAAGATCAGAGAGTCAGAAATCTCTTGGGTCATGGTTTGACAGATCCTGTACTGAGAAAGGTGATGAAAGAGCCTACTGCATATGATATGTGGACTGCTCTGGAAAATGAGTATCAAGCACAAACCTTGCCAAATCGTTTCTACCTGAAACAACGCTTCTTCAGCTTCAAGATGGAGGAAGATCAGAGTCTGGATAAGAATCTGGATATATTCAACAAGCTGGTGTTAGATCTCTCAAGCGTAAATGCAGAGATGGGAGAAGAAGACAAGGCTGCTATACTCATGAACAGCTTACCTAAGAAGTATGATAATCTGGTTCACACTCTGAAGTACAGCAGCAGCAAACAGACTATCAGCACTAAAGAAATCATCAGATCAGCTTACTCTATTGAACTAGAGCTTAAGCAAAAGGGAGTGACAACTCAGAAATCTGCTGATGAAGGTCTATTTGTGCAGTCAAGAGGAAGAACAGATAAAAGGAGTCAAACAAAAGGGAAATCTAGCAGAAGTAAGTCCAAAGTGACAAAGAAGAGAACCTGCTGGATTTGTGGAAGTGAAGAACACTTAAAGAAGGATTGTCCAAAGAAATTTCAACCTAGTAGCAGTCAGAAAGGAGAAGCCAGCCTTGCTCATGACCCGAAAGCAGAACCACTGATGTTGACAGCATCTCAGGTTGGTCCAAGAGAAGGATGGGTACTGGATTCAGGCTGCTCTTACCACATGACAAAGAGGAAAGATCTAATGTTTGATGTGGAAGAGGTAAAGGGGGGAAGAATATTGATGGGGAATGACACTGCCTGTGAGATCACTGCAATTGGAAAAATCAAAATTGTTAACTATGATGGAAGTGAAGTCATTTTATCCAAGGTAAGGTATTCACCAACTGCTAGGAGAAATCTCATATCTTTGGGACAATTGGAGACACTTGGATGCTGGTATCAGTCAAAGGACTATAGACTTCGAGTGTTTAAAGGAGACAAAGAAGTAATTGCAGGCGACTACAAAGATACTCTGTACATCCTTGATGGGGAAGCTGCACTTGCACAGGTCAATGTGGCAGTAAGCGTTCCTGATATCACTCAGATATGGCACAGCAGACTTGGCCATATGAGTGACAAGAACCTGAAAATAATGGTTCAGAAGAAGTTACTCAATGAAAGAGACCTGTCAGAAATGAAACATTGTGAGTACTGCATTCTTGGAAAATCTCACAAGACTCCCTACAAGACAGGAAAACATACCTCAAAGGAAATTCTAGAGTATGTTCATTCAGATCTTTGGGGATCTCCAAATGTTACTCTTAGTCTGAGTAAGTGTCAATACTACATCTCCTTTGTAGATGACTTCTCAAGAAAGGTGTGGATTTATTTCCTGAAGACCAAAGATGAAGCCTACACGAAATTTGTTGAGTGGCTGGCATTAGTTGAAAATCAGAGTGGTAAAAGACTAAAAGTTCTAAGGACCGACAATGGCTTGGAATACTGCAACAAAACCTTTGATGACTACTGCAAAGAAAGAGGGATTATAAGACACAAAACATGTCCTTATACTCCCCAGCAAAATGGCGTGGCAGAAAGGCTGAACAGGACCATTCTTGAGAAGGTAAGAAGCTTGCTGAGTGAAACTGGTCTAGGTGAATCATTTTGGGCTGAAGCTTCATCTACTGTTGTCTACATCCTGAATAGAACTCCATCTGCTTCTTTGGGATTTCAAATACCTGAACAAGTCTATGCAGGAAGAGAACCTGATTACAGCCACATGAAAAGATTTGGGTGCTTAGCATACTATCATGTTGAGCAGGGTAAGTTAAAACCAAGAGCTAAGAGGGGAGTGTTTATGGGATATCCACAAGGAGTAAAAGGATACAGAATTTGGAGTATTGAAGACAAGAAGTGCATAGTAAGTCGAGATGTGACGTTCAGAGAAGATATTTTGTACAAGGACATAGGAAAGATGTCAGATACAGAGAAAGAAGTATCAAAGATGGAAGGGAAGAAAGTAACCTTTGAGTTACCTGGTAACACTGCAGATGGAGCTACATTGGACAGTCCAGGAGAAACCTCTCATCAAAATCATAGCCCATCAGTGGAGACTGAAGATGGAGCTGAGAATGAGCCTGAAACGGTTGATGAAGGGGCAATTTCTGATGATGACTCTCCACATGAGTTGGATAACTACTTGCTAGCAAGGGATAGAAGTCGAAGGTCAAACATCAAACCGCCTAGCAGGTATGACCATGGAAATGTGGCTGAGTATGCTCTAACAATGTCACATGTCATTGATCTGGAAGAACCCCAAAACTTTCAAGAAGCAATGAACTGCAGAGATGGAGATAAATGGAAGTCAGCAGCAGGTGATGAGATGGAGTCATTGAACAAGAATCATACCTGGGATCTGGTAGAAAGACCAAAACACAGAAAGGTCATTGGATGCAAGTGGATATTCAAGATAAAGCATGGTATACCAGATGTTGAAAATCCAAGATTCAAGGCTAGACTGGTTGCAAAGGGTTTTTCTCAAATAGAAGGGATTGACTATCATGAGGTGTTTGCACCAGTGGTGAAACACATTACCATAAGACTGATGCTATCTATGGTGGTCTATCAAGACCTAGAGCTAGAACAGTTGGATGTTAAGACAGCTTTTCTACATGGGAATCTAGAAGAAGAAATCTACATGGAACAACCAGAGGGTTTTGGCAAAGGAGACTAGGTATGCTTGCTGAAAAAATCTCTATATGGTCTGAAACAGGCACCAAGACAATGGAACCTGAGATTCAACCAGTTCATGAAATCTCATAAATACACCAGGAGCAAATTTGATCCCTGTGTGTATTTCAAATGTCTAAGTGAAGGAAACTACGTCTACTTACTGTTATATGTAGATGATATGCTGGTTGCTGCCAAGGACATGGAGGAGATAGTAAGGTTAAAGAAAGTTCTGAGTGAGGAGTTTGAGATGAAAGACATGGGTAAGGCAAGGAGAATTCTGGGAATTGACATCACCAGGGACAAAACTAAAGGCATTCTACAGCTATCTCAACAAGAGTATCTGGAAAAGGTGTTAAGGAACTTTAACATGCTAGATAGCAGACCAGTGCAGACTCCAATGGGATCTCACTTCAAACTATACAGCACGAGACCAGATGACAAAGCTGAATGTGAAGCTGAAATGCAAGACATACCGTATGCGAGTGCTGTTGGGAGCTTGATGTACTCCATGGTTGGGACACGACCAGACATCGCATACGCAGTAGGCCTGATAAGTCGATTCATGAGTTGTCCGGGAAAAGAACACTGGTCTGCAGTGAAATGGGTACTGAGATACATCAGAAATTCAGCTGATCTCAAGCTTACTTTCACAAAGTCAAAAGAATTCAAGGTAAGAGGCTATTGTGACAGTGATCACGCAGCGGATCTAGACAGGAGAAGATCAATTACCGGATATGTGTTTCAAGTGGGAGAGAACACAGTTAGTTGGAGATCTGGTCTTCAACAAGTTGTTGCTTTGTCTACGACAGAAGCAGAATATATGGCACTGGCTGAAGCTGCGAAAGAAGCACTCTGGTTGATGAGAATCACCGATGAGCTTGGATTCCCACAAGATGAAGCTGAAATCTTCTCTGACTCTCAAAGCGCTATCTGCTTAGCGAAGAACAACGTTCACCACGAACGGACCAAGCACATCGACACTCGGTTTCACTTCATCAGAGATGAAATCGAGGAAGGTACTCTAAAGGTCTCGAAGATAAACACCAAAGAAAATCCGGCTGATATACTCACTAAATCAGTTCCGGTGAAGAAATTTGAAGATGGGTTGAGTAACTTGAAGGTGCTTAGGCACCACCATTAGCTCGAAGGAGCTAAAGCTCCGGCACAGGGATGTCGGAGAATCTGACTGGAGGAGGTAAATTCTCCGGTTGTTCTGTCTAAAGCAATCAAGATGGAGATTGTCGTTTCAGGTGATTGTCTTTAGACAGGTGGGCTGAGTTGAAATGAATGGGCCGGTCAAGGCCCAGTCGGAGTCTGCTAAGAAACTTAAGCCCAGGAACAAGAAACGGCAGATGTGAGAGCGTTTTTGGTGCTTTGATGGTCACTGGTCGTACAGTGTTGTCGGGTAGCACCTGCAAGAACGGCGAAGGCTCAGCTTATAAAAGGACAGTGTCATCAAGCTTGGAGGATAAGCCATTCAGTCATTATTGAGAGAGAAAGTCTAGAGAGAGAGTTGTGAGAAACAAGGGTTTGAGGGTTTTACTCTTGAGTGTCTTCTTGTGTGTAACTCTTTGGTGTGGGTTTTCTTTCTGTAAAGGGTGAGAGTGGTGTGACATAGAGAGCTTGTACTGTTCGGTAAAAGATAAGAGTGCCTAGAGAGCTGGTTGAAGCTCTCCGAGACGTACCTTGACTGATTTGGTCTTGGGAACTCGTAAATCTCGTGTCTTGTTTCTTTCTTGCATAACAAACTACAGCAAACAAACATAAAGGTTAGAGCTTTATCACAAGATCAGAAACACTTGGTGAAAGACTCAACACCTTCGACTCTATATTGATAAAACACTTGCAATCTAAAGTGTTGAAGGAAATCCAAAGATTATTTGCACAACTAGGTCATGTGTAAATGGAGCTAGAGAGGGTGGACATCAGAAAAACAACATTATAGTACCTGTTTCCGCATCAATTGCTGCACTTGTTATTCTCATAATTGCATCGATTCTATGTTGTGTTCTCATAAAAAAAGAAAAACCCATCAAGTGATGAAGGTATTCGTGATAAATTCAATACTAGAAAGTTATTACAACATGTTTGTATCTGAAAGTCTAACTTTTTGTCTCATGAATTTAGAGCCAACATCATGTATGCTAAATACGGATGTTAGATCATCAAGATCAGCCGAACCGGCAATAATGACAACGAATAAAAGGTTTACTTACTCGGAAGTTGTGAAGATGACAAATAACTTCCAGAGAATCCTTGGGAAAGGAGGGTTTGGAATTGTCTATTATGGTTCTGTGAATGATACCGAAGAAGTTGCTGTCAAAATGCTCTCACAATCTTCATCTCAAGGATATAAACAATTCAAAGCTGAGGTACTCTTTCACTATCTTCAATAGAATTTTGAATGGAAATACTCGTGAAACATATCAATCTTTTATAACAACCCTTATCCAAAACAATCCTTTTCTATGGGAAAGACTTGTCAATATTGATTTGTTACCACGAGGTTTACTAGGTGGAACTTCTTCTTAGAGTTCATCACAAGAATTTGGTCGGTCTTGTTGGATATTGTGATGAAGGGGATAAATTGGCTCTCATTTACGAATACATGGCCAATGGAGACTTAGATGAGCATATGTCAGGTAATATATTAAAGCTAGCTACCAAACTCACCGTGTTTAGTTTTTTTTTTTTCGAAAACATTTCGAAGCTAGTATATGCATATTTTATTAACTATATATTCTTACATGATTCTAACTATTTAGCTATGCGTATGTAACTTAAGAATTTAACATTCAATTATTCCTTGACCAAACACAGGAAAACGTGGTGGCTCTTTTTTGAATTGGGCAACTAGACTAAAAATAGTTGCTGAATCCGCACAAGGTTTGTCTCGAGCGTTCATATCCTCATTACCTTTTTTTTTGTGTAGATTTATTAGCTTAAATATATTGAATTTTGTTTTGAAATGGTTTTCTTCCACAGGATTGGAGTACCTACATAATGGTTGTAAACCACTGTGGAAGTCGAAACTAACACAATCGAGATTTGTCTAGGGTTTTAATTTAGGGATACGATTTGCGAGAATTCTCAAAGAACGACAGAATCAATTGATACCAAAGATGGTGTTCTCGATATTATTAAGAAAAAGATGACTTTGATCGTACAAGAGTTTGATCGTAAAAGAAAAAAATGTTTGTGCTGTGAGAGCTTTGCGTAGTGTAAATTCTAGAGCGATCCTGCCTCCTTTCTGCGAGAGCCTTGAATCTCTTTATATAGGGGTGATAAACCGCCTCTCCAGCGATATTCTCGGAAGATTTCTATTTATCTTGAAGTCGGCTCAGAATATCGCGGATTAGGATAGTTTCCTTATTTTTCGGGGGTTTTCGGAAGGTTTCTTGATTTGAGTTGATCTTTCGAGATTCTCCCCTATCATTTCCGGGTCTATCGGAAATGATCCTTCGGAAATGACGCCTTGCTTGGAAATGATACTTTGAAGATGAATATTTACCAAGTCTTTGCCTCGGGTGATGATGAAGACTTCGCCTCGGAGAACTTGTGCAATCGGCTCGGGTATACAGGAGAGACTAGCTCGGGTACCCCGAGCTGTCTTGTTCGAGTACCCCGAGGCGATGGGCTCGGGCACTCCGAGGCGATTGGGCTCGGGTATCCCTAATGTCGTGTCCGGGTACCCCCGAGGCGATGGGCTCGGGCACTCCGAGGCGATTGGGCTCGGGTATCCCCAATGTCGTGTCCGGGTACCCCCGAGGTGATGGGCTCGGATACTCCGAGGCGATTGGCTCGGGTATCCCCAATGTCGTGTCCGGGTACCCCCGAGGCGATGGGCTCGGATACCCTATGCTGATTAGGTGGATAACCCGGGGTGGATGATGCGATATCCCGAGGTGATCTCTGTAAAACTCCCGAGGTGTTCTAAGTCTGGCTCGGCGCCAAAGGATGGAATCCGACCCCAACAGTTAGCCCCCCAGCTCGTTAGTTTGGAGAACCAAGCGTGACGAGTTTTATGACAATTAGACCGAGCCATTTACTTTGGACAGTTCGGTCCCTTCAAAGTTTTTGGCGATTCGAATTCCTTTGTCGTTTCATCTTCTCTTGGCGTGTGACGGTTGGGATTCCTTCTCGAGAAGTGGAAAGGTCCTTTCGCTGATTCCCGAGATTCGTGCGGATGCGAAGTATCCTACTCAATTCGTGCGTGCCCGACGCGCCTTAGACGCGGATACGATGTGTTTTATTTGGCTCGTTCGTACCCGACGCGCCCTAAATCTCTATAAATGTTAAGTCTCCGACTCATTTTTTCATTTCGCAACTGCAAAAGAAAATTCTCAAGGTTCGTTCTCTTCTCTCTCTGATCTTAAGTTCCTGCATTTTCTACTTTTTCCGTTATACTTCCGTCGTAGCGCCACCGTCATTAGATCTAGGTTGATTTCTCCGATCTATCAAGCTTTGTTCCTCCGATCAACTTCTTCAATCTCCCGAGCCAGAAAATGTCTCTCTCTGATTCCAGTGATTCGCCCCGAGGCGATACTCATCTCCCTGTCTACAAGAGAAAGATGGTCTGGAGTTCTTCGAGCGACCCCGAGGCGGATACCACGGACCGTCAGATCGAGTTGTATCGTGGTAGTGATGCAGAGTCGGCTTCACGGGAAGAAGACCCGAGCCGTTTCATCGCTCGGGAAGACGCGATTGCATATGTGGCTCGGGATCAGGATTTGCCTGATGATCCCGAGGCGATTTTGAATAGGAGGGGGATACATCCACCGGCAGTTGGTGAAGCTGGAGTCTCATGCTGGCAAAATGCCCCCGAGGCGTCTCTACTTCCTATTAAGGCCGAGGAGGTTCATTATGACTCTGACGAGGCGGCCAGGTTGCTTCAAGCTAAAGTTCAAGCAGCCAAGGATCAACAGAAGAGAAAACGAGCCAAGAAAGCTAGGAAACCCGATCCCCCGGGTTCCACCTTATGCACGGAGGACTCCCTTCGGGATCTCAAGGCCCGGTTCAGTTTTAGCGAGGGAATCGAGCTAAGACTTCCAACTCCGAATGAGCGAGCAGATGATCCGCCCGAGGGGTTTTTCACCCTTTACGAGGGGTTCTTCTACCATTGCTACCTTTGGCTTCCAATCCCGAGGCCGATTTTGGCGTTTCTGTGGTCGTACAAGATTGCTCTATCCCAGATAACGACTCGAGGCCTGCGGCATCTAGTGGGGATTTTAGTCCGAAGTATTGAGACTGTCAATATTGTCGGCCTCAGCCACTTGAGGAATCTCCTGGAGATCCGGCGCATACCAGGCCCTGTTGAGAGATTTTACATATCTCCGAGGCCAAATAGGAGGGTTATCGGTGGTTTCCCGAGCAAGGATGAGAAGTACACCGATAACTTCTTTACGTAGCCTTGAATGAGTATAGCGTCCACGAGGACTACTTAGGGAAAGTTGTTGGAAAGTGGCGAAAAATTGGTACTACGCCCGAAGCCGTATTTGCTGTTTTGTTTTGCTTTAACCTTTTCATTGACCGTTTTTCTTGTTCATGCAGATCGGAATCCGTCATTTCTCGAAGACGTTCCCGAAGGCTTTCTAGATCTCCACGACGAACTTATAGCTCGGAAGTGCGATTGGACGAAACACTTCTCCCAGGAAAGAATTGAGAGAGCCTTGCGTTTGCTGCACGGAGCTCCCTGCCAGTCTTCTTCAGAATCATCCGACCATCGTCTAGATCACCTCATTGAAATGCAAGGAGCCGCGCAGTCTTTGAGGGCGAAGAAAGCTGCCGAAAGAAAGGCGGCCGAGGAAAAAAGGGTTTTAGAGGCGACTTTCAGACCGCCAACTCCGCCTGAGGTTAACAATGATCCAGAGGTTGCCGATGGTACCGAGGCGACTGAGGAGGCTCGGGTCGCTGCAGATTCGTCCAGACCCGAGGCCTCCGGTGACGTTCGGCCGGATGTAGAAGTTCCTGAGGTAGTAGGGGCTTTAGCGATCGTAGCTCTGGGTGCCGAGGCGAAGGCTAAGGCGAAATTGAAGAGGCCCCGAGGTGATAGCTCGGGAGGACGCAGAAAGGAGAAGAGGAGCCGTAGTGAGGCTCCCATCTACAAGGATAAGATAGCTTCGGCTAATCTTATCGCTTCTTGTTCGGGTCCGCCGCTTTCCGCTCCCGAGGCCTTGCTGGAGGCACAAAACTACCGTGAAACCGCTGCTGGATTTCTGAAGGTATCGATTCATTCCTTACGTGTTTTTCTATCGTTTCCATACTTGTTTGCTGATGATTCCCGTTCGATTTCAGGCCTTCAACCTAATGAATTCCATGGTTCGAGCCTACGATTCTGGACTCTGTCGACGATAGCTTCGGGACTCTGTCGACGATAGCTTCGGGACTCTGTCGATGAATTCCCCGGACTCTATCGACGATAGCTTCGGGAACCGTTCGATCGAGGATGCCGCGGCTGCGATAGGCGTTGCCGACCAGTCGGGTTCGAACCGAGGTAGCTCAAGTTTCGCCGGTTAACCAAGATTCGATCTGATCCCGAGATGTCTTTTTATTCTCTCTTTTGCCCTTTTTTGTAAGACATGCCTGGACGGCTTTATCCACTGAATATGATGTTAAGTATTTTTATCTTAAAATTTTTCCGAACTGAATCCAATACTAATGTCAAATAGTTGGATTTAACTTCCGAGCCAAAAGCGAAAAGAATTGTGCATCAGTGATAAGTTAACCGGGTTTATGATTTGCTCGTTGAGAAGTTAAATCCAAACGTTTTAACTTTCGAGCCGAAAGTGAAATGAATCGTGCACCAGTGTTAGGATAACTGGGTTTTGGCTACGTGGGACTAATCTTTATCGGTTGCGACCCGAGCTGATATAGTCGAAGCCAGTGCTTAGAAGCGAACTGGGGTACCAGTGTCGAAGTCAACTGGGTTTTCTGAAGACAATTTCTTTATGGCAAGATATCTCTGACCGAATCGTCTCGAATGCTTATATAGCGCGCTGTAACCGAGGCGGTGAAATGAGCTCTCTGTTCGTGGACGTGGCCATCGTCCGAACGAACTGTTGGCTTTGTGGGTCGATAAGGAGACCGTAAAGTTTCCCGAGATGAATTTTGGGAAGATGTCGAGGTGGATAAAAATAAAAATTCAAAGGGTAAAAACTTATAAAAGTTCAAAAATTTAGTGGGAGTATATGTATACGGACCCACTCCCCCTTTTTTAATTAGGGGGGGTAGCTGAACTCGTCCGAGGACGAGCTGCCTACGTACCCTTTTCAGGGATCAAGCCACCCCGTAGTTCGAGTACATGCGTACCTTAGGTTTTTAGCGGTAATATTTCCTTAGATGCATTGCGTTCCAGGATCTAGGTACCGCTTTGCCGTTCATGTTGACGAGTTTGTAGACGCCGGGACGGATTACCTTTGCGATCGTGTAAGGTCCTTCGCAATTCGCGCCGAGCTTACCTGCGTTCTGTTCGGCGGTATTCTAGAAAACTTTGCGCAGTACAAGATCTCCTTCGTGGAAGCGGCGATGCTTAACGTGAGAATTGTAGTACCGAGCCGTCGTATTTTGATAGTTCTGCATACGGATCAAAGCCGAATCTCTTCTTTCGTCAATTAAGTCCAGCTCGTCCAGCATCATCTGAGTGTTGGAATTTTCCTGCTCGGGGAGAAAACGTCTTCTTAGTCCCGGGATCTCGGCTACGGTGGGAATCACACACTCCGTGCCGTAGACAAGGGCGAAAGGTGTTTCTCCCGTGGCCCGCCGCGGCGTCGTTATGTGCGACCATAGTACTCCTTCCAATTCGTCGGCCCAGCGGCCTTTCTTCGCGTCGAGGCGCTTTTTTATTCCGTCGAGAATCGTCTTGTTTGCCGTTTCGGCCTGTCCGTTTCCCTGAGGGTACCGAGGCGTAGACTTGCTAAGGCGAATTCCCCATTTCTCGCAGAATCCTTCGAACCGAGCTGAAATAAACTACGATCTGTTGTCTGTAACGATCTCGTAAGGTATTCCGTGGCGGC